CCTCCCATACTTCTTGTGCATAATCTGGCATCAAAGGTTGTCTTTGTCTTTGAGCAGGTGCCAACCTCCCTTCGCCAACATAGCCAAGTTGACTTGCCTGATGGGTCTGATACCCATTCCGTTGTTATCTTTTGAGTTGAGAAGTTGAGGCCAAGCCACCAGATGCATTCTCTTCTTCTTATCGGAGTCCCCCCCCCCCCCCAATATAAAATCCCGATTGATTTTATCAATGTTTTTGCAGAAGGCCGCCGGTAGAAGCTCTGTTTGCATCGGGTAGACCGGGATCAAGCCAGAAATGGACTTAACCACTGTCACTCGAGCAGCCAAAAAAAGCTTCTTCGCCTTCCGCTGAGCGAGTTTTCGTTGGATTCTGAGAAGGAGATCCTAATAGCTGGCTTTATTAACTCTGCCATGAATTGCCGAAACTCCCAAGTACCTCCTTAAGTCGATGGTGAGGGGAATCGAAGCTCGCTTACTCGGCTCTCTAGCATAACTTCTGCGGATGTTGGCAGAGACAAACATTGCTGACTTTTCGAAGTTGACTCTCTGCCCTTGAACAGAACTCATCTAGGAAACGCTTGATAATCCTTATTTGGGAGCTTTCTGCTTCTGCAAATAAAACCAAATCGTCCGCAAAGAACAAGTGAGAGAGAGCAGGACCATCTTTGGATAATCGCAGGGGTTTCCATTGTTTATCCCGGATGGCCTAATCTATTATATGAGATAAACGCTCCATACAAAAGAACAAAAAGGTAATGGGAAAGAGGATCTCCCTGACGGATCCCTCGGGTGGGAGTGAAAGGAGGTAACAGCTCTCCATTCCACAAGAGGCGCATGCTGTTCTTTTCCACTCAAAACATGATGCAACTGATTCATGAGCTTGGCAGCCCCACTTCCTTAAAAGTATCGCGGAGGAAATCCCATCGTAGCCGGTCGTAGGCTTTTTCTAAGTCGATCTTGAAGACTCCTCCTCTTTTTCCTTTCTTCTTCCGGAGCGAGTGAAGCACCTCCTGAAGGACTAAAATGTTGTCTATTGTCTACCTGCCTGGAATGAAGCTGCTTCGACGTGGGGATACTAGCTTCCTCATGACTGGCATCAATCGATTAGTTATTGCTTTTGTGATGACCTTGAGACAGACGTTGTTCAGCAAGATGGATCAAAGCTGAGCCGTAGTCTCTAGATGCTCCACCTTAGGAATGAGCACCACTGTTGACTCCATAACCGAGATTGGAAGTTGACATATAGAGAAAAAGTTAGCTGCCATATTAATTAAAGCCTTTCCTACGAGAGACCAAGAATTTTGGTAGAAGATCGCTTCGAATCCATCCAGTCCTGGAGCTTGAAAAGACTTCATTTGATGAACGCCTTTGTGGATGTCACCCCATCGAAGGGTCTAAGCAGGCAAAGAAGGTCAACAATTACATGGTATACCGCACTTTTGCTCCTTCTTTACACCAATGAATCAATGCTTTGCCTATCTATCCGACTATTAAATAATAAGTTGTTTTCCTATTAATAAGAGGTTTTTAAGGCAATAAAACTATTAAAAAAAAGTTGCATGTAACCAAGTATAACAAAATCTGGACCTTTTTTCTAGTGGGTTCAAAAAATACAGATATAAGTACTGGGAATTAAATGCATTTTATTTTTCCTAATTTTTCTAATCCGCTCTTATCTTTTTCGTTCTAATTCGGATTTTTCTTAAAAAAAATTGCACAGATGAAACGAGCTTGTTTTTCTCTACAAAATAAGATCTATTTTCAATATTTTTGAGATTTTTTCATACCTCTCCTTACCAATCCCATACCTTATGGTATCTCCGTAGTTTTTAAGTCGCTTTTGAAATTTTTTGCACAAAAGGAATGAGTTCATCATGATTTATTGTATCTAAAAATTTATGGGTGAAAAAAGTAGAGGACAAAAAATACCACACAATACCACCATGGTATATGGCTGGTATCTTGTGGTACACAATGTTGAAAGTCGTAAATGACAGCTATTGTACTCTTACTATCATGTATTCAACCATCCTAAAGTCTTGGTATGTTCATACCACTATGGTATGCTGTTCATATTATATTTTATGCTCTTATTCTAATAACAATCATTATCATCATGGTATAGACTAGTAAAAAATATCTCAAGTGTTTTGTTTCAAAAATATATAAAGTGAATATCATTTTGAAGTGCGTAATTAAACTAATATATATGTGCAAAAAAAAAATTTCAACTTAAAACAAGAGAAAAATCGTCCGTTAAAAATTAAAGGGGAAATTATTAAAAACTTTTCAGGGTAGAGAGAAGTGTTAATGGGGCAGATTCTGGTTGGGTTACTCATGGTTACTCATCATAGAGTTACGGATGGGATCCGCTCCCAGAAGTATAACATACTAGAAAATAAAAATTCACGAGAGGCAGCATTACGCCATTACCCTCCAACTTATCGAATAAGTTGTTGATTTCACTTCGAAACACTTTATATTAGGATGGTAAAAATAACTATATTGGTGGATACTCACGGATAGTAAAAATAATCATAATATTAGAGGTGGCAATTCTCAATCCAATCCACCAACCCTTTAAAAATATCCACTTAATCCAATCCATTTAAATCCAATCCATTTGATCCAAATCCAATTGGATTGGTGATACTCACGGATAGTAAAAATAACCATAATATTAGAGGTGGCAATTCTCAATCCAATCCACCAACCCTTCAAAAATATCAACTTAATCCAATCCATTTAAATCCAATCAATTTGATCCAAATCCAATTGGATTGGTGAATTCATGGATTGATCCATGGATCCAAATGGCAAATTACGGTTTGGTACCTATACTTTTTATATTTTACATTTTGGTACCCAAAATTTAATTTTTATATTAAAATATCATTGAAAAATTACGTTTTGGTACCTAAAATTTTCCATTATGACATTTTAGTACCTAAACTTTTCACATTTACATATTGGTCCTTGGTTGAGGATGTAATTTGGATTCATGGATAATCCACCAATCCATGGATCAATCCATTTGCCACCTCTACATTATTACTTCTCAAAATTGGAGAAGTAATTAGGATGTTTCTAGATTTCTATCGGTTATGGGAAGAAAGAGGAAGGGAAAGGGGGAGAGTAGTGAGATACAAAGCTCAGAGAGAGAGATTGAAGAACAAACGAAAAAACAAAGAGGGAGGCTAAGAGAGAATGAGAGACTACACTTAAAAGAGGGGGGAAATGATATAGTGTGAAATAATTGTCATTCTATTTTGCTTAGTGGGTATTCTTGGCCCTTTTGACCTTTTCTGTGAAGTTTTGATTTATGTTAGAAGAAGACATTATATTTGATACATTATTTTCATTTCAATTTCAATTTAAAATCCTAAATCAATATTATCATTTGGTTGATTTTTTCCTTAATATGATTATGGTGATTTCTTAGGTTTAAGGGGCATTTGATATGTCAATATTTTAGTGGTTTTTTATTTAAAGTTTGAATTGAAAGATCGTACATACCGGCGGTTCGACAATAAAACATCAGACCATAGGCTAAATCGATAGGTGAAATTTAGCATCATGAAACCGTTGAACCATTGTTAAATTATGACTTCAGTATAAAATACTCTACTACCAAAATTTTGGAGACGATTTTACAATCCTTTGGTTCCAACAATTCTTTTATACGGGTGGAAACAAAAATTTTAAGCCACATTTTGGACTCTTTATTGCAAAAGAGCATAAGTCAATTAACGATAATGAGACGATGCGATCTCATTCAACCCAAAAGACACTTTACAACTTCTATATTTTTAAAATAATGTATGCTTCTCATACACCTGCTCATTCATCAACTTAATGAGTAACATATATTTCATGTAATATGAATTTTATAGGTTTTTATTTATTAAATTATTTCATGGAATAATTATTTGTTGCGTGAAAATTACTACAATGTTGCTAAACATGTCCATACACAACACATTGTCCAGCTAACTATTAGCGACAAGTTAGCATCATGTCCTATATATTTCAAAACAAGCAACTTCAGATTCATTACCAACAGTGTGGTAAAAAAATGCTCTATATTGGGAAAAACTTAAAGGACATACTAAACTCTATGAGTTTGTTTCATCCTAAAGGTTGATTATGTATGTATTATGAGAAACAACTCTAATATTCAACTATATGGTTTAATTAAACAATAAATGAAAATTAGTTATATTTTTCATTCAATAATTATATGTAATGCTTATATTATATATTTTTCTCTCTTTTCATGGAGGTCTAAACACATTATGCATAGTTGGATCACTTTCAAAAATGTTATGTGCATAACTAAGGTAGAAAACAATCATTTCATGCACTTCAAATCATCTATTATACCCATTATTATATATCATATTACTCGATAAAATTCTTTCGGTCAACGGGCCGGGTCCTGTGCTAGTTATATATATACATGCACTATTCGGGGTTTTTTCCATAATTATTGTGATTATAAAAAAAATTACCTGAAATGTTGTGGTTGAAAAAATAATTCCCAATCTATTGTCTCTAAACCGAAATCCCAATTGGGTTCTCCAAAAGAGAAAAAGTCTAATATGGGCATCCGCGCCCCAATTTAACACGACAACTGCCAAAAGACGAATTGAGGCAGCAACAAGCCCAATTAGGGCGGTGCGCGCCCAAATTAGGCTTTCTACCCAACAAAACGCCCAATTGGGACGCACGCGCCTCAATTACTATTTAGACACAGTAGATTGGAAAATATTTTTTCAACCACTACATTTCGGATAATTTTTTTTAAATCACAATAATTATGGAAAAACCCCACTATTCGCCCCGACTGTCATCCCTAGCTAGTTCATTTACTACGTGCAAATGAGGCAGAACGAGCCCTCTTCAACAATCCCCGCCATTATAAACCAGAGCTCAATCTCCACTACAACTCACCTCCACTCACTCTCTCAAAACCAAGACAAGTGGTACTCTCATACAAAATGCAGAGCCTTCAGGTTCAGCAACCAACCGCCGGCGGACCCACCGGCCCGTACAACCCGACGGCGACGGTGACCAAGCCATTCCTCAACGGCACGAGCGGCCTCGCCATGAGGTCGAGTTCTCCCACCACCATCTTCTCCAAAGTCGTCAAGGGCCGCAACCCCGTGAACCGAACCGGTCGGGTGGCGCACTCCGGGGTGGCCGTGAAGGCGATCCTCGGCGGGTTCGGGGCGTTCAACCCGCTGGCCGGCGTGAAAGTTAAAGCCGTCGTCACCGTGAAACAAACCGTCGGCGGGGTTCTGGCCGACACCGTGCTGGTGCCCAACACGGTTGCTGACTTGGCCGGAACTTCCATGATCTTGGAACTCATTCCCGCCGACCTTGATCCCAGTAAGACTTCCACTTTTAAAATCCGGAAAATGTTAGGATGCTTTTTGTTAGTATTGAATAGTACAGGGACTAGAATTGTACTTTTTAGATGGAGTAAAGAAAAATCCAAATTGATACAAAAGATTAGGGGATTACTATTCGTCGCCCTAAAATTTTGAATTTATCGCCCTAAAACACACAAAATTATACATTTGTCCTTAACCTTCAATTGACCGATTTTCCTCCATTTTCAATCCAACCTCCGACAACATCACCTCCCAACTCCTGTTGTCGCCGACCTCTGCAGGGGAAGAGGAGGAAGAAGAAACGCGGCGACCCCACCTCCTCTTCCATCGCCACCTTTACGTCGCCCACTTGCCGCCCACATCCCCTGTTGAAAATCTGTCTTCGGTGAGGCTTGGACGAGTTCCTGACCTGTCAAGCACCGCCAGCGACGAGTTTCCGACTAGAAGTTCAGTTGGTTTATGGGAAAATGGGTCATTCCCTCTATAGAAATGAAAGCGTCCATGCTCACATCGGATAATAATCTCTCTCTCTTTCCTCGTTGCTGTCTATTCTTTTCCTTCCTGGTAAAAGCTACTGCTTCTCCAGCTGCTCCCTTTTCACTCCTTCTCAGCCCTTCACAATAATAATTATCCCCTTTAATCCCCCACCATTGGCCTCTTCATCATCATCCCCCTTTCTCCTTCTTCGTTGCTCACCATTGGCGATGGGTTTTCAGCCCTGTCTGGCGTGCTGGTTGGTCGGGTGTAGGGGCTTGAACTGAAGGGTGGGCGGATTAGTGGTCGGCGACAGGGAGCTGGGCGGCGGTGGCCGGGGGTTGGGTTTGGGGTGGATTAGGTATTTTTGTTACAAATTTAAATCAAGGGTAAATATGTTAATTTATTGTGTTTTAGGGCGATAAAATTTAAATTTTAGGGCGACGAATAGCAATCCAGAAAGAGTACTCTGGTCATTTTCATCCAAAATCTCGCCTAGTTAATTTGACTCGGCAAATTAATAGAAGTATGTCAAAGTCCTATTAAACACTTCAATTTATTGTGTGTTTTCAATTTGATACGATAATAGATGTTCCGTTATAAAATTCAAATCTAAAAAACTATAAAAAAAAAAAATCTTACCACTTCTGACAAGAATCATATCAGAGCTGATAGAATGTTAAAAGAGTGATAAGATACAAAATTTTGTAGGTCTGAATTTTGCGGCAGATCAATGTTTCTAAATAGCTGGAAATGATGGAAATGTTAATTTTGTACATGTTTTCAAACTTATGGTACCATTTCGTAAGAGGAAAAAGGTGTGTAAAGCATTTTGTATAAATGTCAAAATGATACGATCAACTTATGAAGGAGTTTTTTTCTCCCTTGTATGTATTATCCGAAGGTACGGGAAAAGAGAAGCCGACGGTGAGCTCGTTGGCTAGCTTCGTCGGCATAGATGGCTCGGAGATCAAGTATGAGGCATCATTTGGCCTCTCCTCCGATTTCGGAAAGGTCGGAGCGATTCGCGTCGACAATTTGCACACCAGGGAGATGTTCCTCAAGGACATCGTCCTTGACGGCTTCGCCACCGGCTCCGTCAACATCGAATGCGAGTCCTGGGTTCCGGCCATGTTATCCGGCCAGCCCAGAAGGGTCTTCTTCACAACCAAGGTAACTCCCTTCTCCCTTAATCTTTGAACACTTTTTTACTTCTGGAAATCGTTGCTAACCAGGTGTTTGATAAATTGTCGCTGAGAGGTTTTACAACTAGTGTGAGAATTCTTAAGTTTTAGACCTTAGCCCTTTGACTGATTACTGGGTATGGCGTATGTGAATTGTGATGGGAACAGTCGTACTTGCCATCTAATACACCAGCGGGGTTGAAGAAGCTGCGGACTGATGAGCTTGTGGTTCTTCGAGGGACTGGTCAAGGTGAGCGCAAGAAAGGCGAGAGGATATATGACTACGACGTCTATAATGACCTCGGAAACCCATCTAATCCAGATTCAGCCAGACCTGTATTGGGTGGGAAAGAGAATCCTTACCCCAGGCGATGCAGAACAGGACGACCACGATCATCCACAAGTGAGTACTCCTTGGAAACCTCTGTTTTTGCTTTTAACAGTTCTTGTATGGTGGCCCTTTTCTGTTTGTTCACTTAACTATATGAACTGCTACTCTTGGTGATGACAGATCCCGCAGACGAGACAAGGGGTCTTTACTTCTATGTGCCTCGTGATGAAGAGTTCTCGGAGATTAAGACGGCACAATTTGGTGTGAAGACATTGTACTCAGCTTTGCATGCCTTGATACCAATTCTGGAGGCCATACTCATCGACCCTAATCTGAGCTTCCCACACTTCACAGCTGTGAACAACTTGTTTGACCAAGGGCTCAACTTGCCTCCCTATTCTCAAACAACTCTCACATCTTTCCTGCCTACCCTAGTCAGGAACACAGCTGAAGGTAGCAATGACGTGTTGCAGTTTGAGGTCCCTCCGACAATGGATAGTAAGGAACTTCTCCTCTGTTTGTCTCAATATATAATGTCCTTGTGATCTTCACTATATGACATTTCTCTTATTCTCGATTGAACTTGGGTAGCTTAAAAGATTTTGTATGTGACTTCAGGAAACAGCTTTTTCTGGTTCACTGACGAGGAATTTGCTCGGCAGACACTTGCTGGTGTAAATCCATGTACCATAAAGTTGATTAAGGTAGGATTGCTCAGCAAGAAAACTTGGATATACCCCATGATATCTGCAATTTACTATGTTGCTAAAATAGTAAATTGACCAAGTTTACATCTTTTTTATTTTCTCTTTGTTTAAAATCATTTTAGGATTGGCCAATTATGGGCACTCTGGACCCAGCTGTTTATGGTCTTCAGGAGTCTGGAATCACTAAAGAACTCCTTGAGAAAGAAATAAGAGGCTGTACAACACTAGATGAGGTATATATTGTTCTCCTCTGTAATAAGATTAACCATTTTGATTATCTGATGGTGGTTTTATTGTTATGTATAGGCCATCCAACAAAAGAAGCTTTTCATGCTTGATTACCATGATGTCTTGCTACCATTTGTGGGCAAAGCCAGAGAGCTCGACAACTCAACATTATACGGGTCACGAACGGTATTCTACCTCGCCCCATCCGGCACACTGAAGCCTCTAGCCATCGAACTCACTCGCCCCCCATTGGATGGAAAACCACAATGGAAGAAAGTCTATACACCAAACTCTTCTTCTTCTACAGATGTCTGGTTGTGGAGGTTTGCCAAAGCACATGTCCTGGCTCACGACTCTGCCTATCATCAACTCATTAGTCACTGGCTGAGAACTCATTGCTGCACAGAGCCGTACATAATTGCAGCAAAACGCCAGCTCAGCGCGATGCACCCAGTACACCGCCTCTTGCTCCCTCACTTTCGGTACACGATGGAGATCAATGCGCTAGCACGACTAGCTCTGATCAATGCCGGCGGAGTCATTGAGACAACTTTCGCTACCCTCAAGTATGCCATGCAGGCTAGCTCCGCAATCTATGGCCAATCTTGGCGTTTTGATAAGGAGGGACTACCTCATGATCTAATTAACCGGTGAGCGATATAGTAATTTTGCATCGCATTGGCTAGGCTTTACAATTTTTGAGCTAGCAAATGTTAATAAGAGGTGGACATTGGCTAGTTTTAACATAGTATTCTAACTGAATCTTCTGGTTTCGTTGTATCCTGCAGTGGACTGGCTATGGAAGACCCATCTTCCCCACACGGTGTGAAGCTAACCATAGAAGACTACCCATACGCCAACGATGGTCTCCTCATTTGGGATTCCATCAAAAAATGGGTGACCGACTATGTCAACCAATACTACCCCGACTCCAAATCTGTCTCCTCTGACGCTGAGCTCCAAGCATGGTGGTCCGAAGTCCGCTACCAAGGTCACGAGGACAAGAAGGACGAATCATGGTGGCCGACGATCTCCACCCCGCAGGACCTCATCGAAGTTTGCACGACCATCATTTGGGTGGTCTCGGGCCACCATGCGGCTGTCAACTTTGGGCAGTACGCATTTGGGGGTTACTTCCCGAACCAGCCGACCATCACTCGTGTCAAAATGCCGGACGAGGACCCGACTGAGGAGGAGTGGAAGCTATTCATGAAGAAACCTGAGCGCGCGTTACTCGCCACCTTACCTTCTCAGATTCAGGCTGTCACGGTCATGACTGTTTTGGACGTGCTGTCGGCTCATAGTCCCGACGAGGAGTATCTCGGAGGGCCTATTGAGTCCGCGTGGCACGATGAGCCGAGCGTGAATGCAGCTTTTGAGAATTTTACTGCTAGGCAGATCGAGATCGAGGCCGAGATCGATGCGAGGAATGCTGATCCGACGAGGAAGAACAGGGTTGGAGCTGGTATATATCCTTATGAGCTTCTGAAGCCGTTTTCAGAAAGTGGAGTTACAGAGAAGGGAGTTCCATATAGCATTTCCATTTAGCCTTCTTGGTTGTGCTTTGGGAGTTGATTGAGAATAAGAAGACTCGGAAAAGGGGGTGTGCTACTTGGTACCCTTTTTTAGGTCTTTTGAGTGGTTGAAACTTCTGGTTTGATTTTGGTTTTGCAAGGTTATCGTTTGCCTAATAACTGCACAGGCTTTGTATATGGGGTTATATGTCTGTGTTTCCCCATTTTAGTTTTTTGGATTTCAAATGGAAGGTTCACCTCCAAGTAATCAAGACTACGGTTTTGCTTCAGTTTATCTAATGGTATCAACACTTGTCGTAATTGAGTTGAATAGTATTTATCTTTGTGTAATTGAGTTGGTCGTCAATTGTCGCTGGTGCTCCGAAAACCCACTAGCCGCAGAACCCATCAACTCGCCAACGGAACCGAAAACCAGTTACCAAAACCATCCAACTCGCCAACAGAAGTCAACCCAATTTGTCTGCTTCTCTGTCACCATTTCTAAACCATATCCAAAAACCCAATCACACCATATCCTTCAGAATTTTGCTTTTTTCACCTATAAATAAGTAGGACACCAAATCAAACCCCAAACGTACTCACTCACACTTCTCCTTGCTAGCAAGCACATCATTTACCCAAAAAGAAAGAAAAGCATCCAACTTCATCCAGTTTTGTTCATCACCAGCCAAAACAGAATGTCGACATTGGAAACAACACCCTCTCCGCCGGAGCAGAAGAAGGTATTCCTGGCGGCAGTGGACGAGAGCGAAGAGAGCATGCACGCCTTATCGTGGTTCGTCAACAAAATCATGCCGGCGTCTTCCTCCGGCCACCACCGCTCTACTCTCGTCCTTCTCTACGTCAAGCCTCCGCGGTGGCTCTATTTCTCTCCCGACGGTTAGTCACGAAAAGTTCCAATCTTTATCCCTTTCTCCCCACCGATTCCTTCTTCTTCTCTTTCCCCTATTTTTTTTTTCTGAGCCTGCTCTGTTTTTTCTTGGAGGGGATGCAGGGCACATGTTTTCGGCTGATGTAATGACGGCCATGGACAAGTACAGAAACGACGTTGCTGACTGCGTCATGTTAAAGGCCAAAAGGGTCTGCAAAGAAGCAGCTGGTAACAATGATGATGATCATCATCATCATCATGTGAAGGTGGAGACGATGATAGAGAATGGGGATGCGAGAGATGTGATTTGTCAGGTTGCTGATAAGCTATGTGTTGACGTTCTTGTGATGGGCAGCCATGGCTACGGCCCTATCAAGAGGTAATCAACCCTTCAGTTTAAGAGTTAATCACTTAGTAGTTAGTATGTTAAATCGTTAATTATCTGATAATTTTTTAATCCTTAATTTTTTTCTGTGGAAACAGGGCGTTTCTTGGCAGTGTGAGCAACCACTGTGCTCAGAATGTGACGTGTCCAATCTTGATCATCAAAAGGACGAAATCCAACTAGTGGAAGATCCCACCCCCCACCAACTTCTAATTGCTTCGTAGTTCATTCCATGTTGTACGTTGTGTCTTAAAAAGGATCATCATCCAACGTTGTGATTTTTATTTCCTCCATTTTATTTAGGTGCTTTGTGTTGAACCTCTAGATTTTGCTTTTGTGGATCGTGAATTCTGTAAAACATGAAGGGGTACGCTTTTTCACCCCAAAGACCCTATACACTGTTTCAATTCTTGGCCACTAGCGCCAAAGCAGTGGAGAAGCTCCTCGAAAACACTTTCTTCCCCCCGCTTCGAGCTTCAAGTAGATGTACTCATATCCCTCTTGCCCTTCCCCTCGGCATTATCCTCAGTCCAACAAACTCAAGTCACCGACCATACTACACAGTCAGCGCTACAGTGGTCGTACCTTTCTTGCTGTCAATTTCCTCCCGAAATCAAGCATCCACTGGTCAGTGCTCGGTCATGTCTATCTCTTCGCCATTCCATTCTGCTATCCCCAATTTCCCCACTCCCTTAACCCTGCTCATAGCCTCGCTCATGCTACCGCCCATAATTTCTACGCCGCTTGCTTTCCTTCACTCTGTGCGGAGAAAATTGCTTTCTTCTCGCGCAAATTGTCCTTGTTATGGGACAATCCAAGTACCACATCGGTTATACAAGGGAAGGAATCCTTGTATATTACTGTCCACCAATCTCATTAGTACGAGGCCTTTTGGGGAGGACACCCAAGAGTAAAACCGTGCGGGCTTGGCCCAAAGCGGACAATATCGTACTAATTGAGCTCCCCGGTTATGACAAGTGGTATCAGAGCCTGGTTCGGTGCGGGGCGGTGGACGTCAGTTTGCTGGACCCTCATTCGGTGACCTCGGGGTTTAAGATCTGCGTTTGGTTTGGAGGATCCAGAAGAGATCCATATTTGGGCTTGGCGGATCAAAGAGAGTTCCGCATCTGGGAAGCAGATCAAAGAGAGTTCTGTGTCTGGTAAAGTCCTTGTATCGAGAAGCCCATCGATACAAGGCATCTGGCGGATCAAGATAATCGCTGAGGTGAGGACACGATGTTCGTGGTCCTTGGCTTGAGGGGAGGATTGTTATGGGACAATCCAAGTACCACATCGGTTATACAAGGGAAGGAACCCTTGTATATTAGTGTCCACCAATCTCATTAGTACGAGGCCTTTTGGGGAGGACACCCAAGAGTAAAACCGTGCGGGCTTGGACCAAAGCGGACAATATCGTACTAATTGAGCTCCTCGGTTACGACAGTCCTCTTCGGTTTCACCTCTCATTCTATTCTTTTGCTTCTCTTTCTTCTCGGCGTCACCGCCACAGCCCTCAAATTGGGTCTCTTACACACATGGATAACTGGAAATCCTTGCCGTCACGGGGACAATTACAGTTGGGTGAAATGCGCGTCGCAAATTGGTGAGTGAAAATCTGCGCTCAGGGAAGTTTCTTATGTGCAAGGATTTGACGTCCGAAGAACGCCTGCGGGTGAGTTCACTGAATCCGTGTTTACTATGTCAGTCGAATTCTTTATTGCTTAGGCTGGCTCCAACCCAAGGAGCTAAAATGCTAAAAAGCCAAATTTGGCTTTTTTTCCTCCTCCAACCCACAAAAAAATGGGAAGCAAAATATGGGTATTGGGTTTTTGGGAGTTAAATTTGGCTGGGTTTTGGGGTGGGAAGTTAAAATTGGCTGCCAAAAAGGTTGTACAACGTCTGCTGGCGGGGGAGGGCCCAGGTGCGCGTCCTGCGCCCTCCCCCGCCAGCCGACTGCTTTTTTTTTTTTTCTTTTAACTTTTGTTTTTGTTGGTTGGGAATTTATTTTGTCAATTTGTTTTAGATTTTTTTTCTCTATTCTCATTGGTTGTTTGTGATTGAATTTGAAATATAAATTTGAAATAATTGATGTAGTGACGAAAAAACGGTCAAGAGAGGAGACTAGAGCAGGAGAAAGAGGAATGGGCATACAAGAGGCAAGTGAGGGAGCGTGAAGCGGAAAAGTGGGCTGTGGAGAAGAAAGAGAGGGAAGCTGCAATACTTCAACAAAATGTAGCTATTCTGGAGAAGGATTTGTCAAAGATGACACCAAGAAAGAAGAGATTTTGGAGGCGTAAACAAAATGACATTTATGGGTACGATCAAGATGATCCCAACTCATATGACGTCGATTACATTCGACCCTCTCACGATCAATGTGACGTCGGCTTGTAGTTTGACGGCGACTTGATGCACCTTCAGCCAGCCTCCGACCGATCAAACTCAAACGTAGGTGGCGAAACCTTTCGTACTCTTCGTTTTCTTCTTCTCCAGACGATGAGCTATCTGAGATACTCATGATGAATGTGTTTGTTTTAGAAATGGGAAGAAGTTTTAGTTGAGTTGATGAAAATGAAGACCTGTCATTTATAAAGACATTTGGTGCAAAAAATGACAAAAAAACGGTCGTAAAGTAACGGATACAAAAAAACGGTCATATTTGGAGTGGTCCCGAAGTTTTAACGGTAATATTTTAACGACTAATTTTTGAAAAAAAATTATCTCGGAATTTAAAAAAAATTACATCGAAAAATTTGTATTCAAAACTAATAACTAGTTATGAAAAAATTAAAGTGAAATATAAAAATTAGAGGTCAAATAAGTATGGTTTATTGAAATAAATTGAAAAATGGAAATGGGAAGCTAAATTTAGCTTTTTATAGGGTTGGAGTGAAAAGTGGGTTTGGGGAGCTAAAAAGCCATATTTGGCCATTTGGGGAGCTAAATTCCCCTTTATGGGTTGGAGTTAGTCTTATGGTAACTGGTTTAACTTCCTAACTTATAGACAAGTTATTGTTGTCTCCTACTTTCTTTGTTTCCAATGCCGTGGTTAATAGTTTCTGGAAAGCGAATGCTAAATTCCACATACTCAACTGCTACGGTTTCTATTCCCAATTCCAACTTTTTTATTATGTGTAGCTGCTTCATACAACTCAAATACATTCTTTTTATTTTTTATTAATGAGGAGGCAAAAGCCAAATTGCAGAGGCACTGCTGCTAGCAAACACTCACAGCAGGAGCAAAACAGAAAACAAACTTACGACAACATTATTACGAAGATATATTGTTGTATATATTTTGGTTAAAAACAATTACAGCTGTGAAAGATCCATGCCCTCGGTATCTTGATCGATATTTTCAGATCATTTTGCCAGTAGAGTTATTTCCCTCCTACTCTCTGGTTTTAGATGGTAAATGTAGGATTTCTTCCTTGGCAGGGATCAAGCAGTTGGCAGTGAAAGGATGTAAACGGGGATCAACAAGTTGGCAACGGAAGGAAGGAAGGAGGTGTGCAAGTAAACAATGGTGTTGAAATAGGCAAGTCTTTTAAGCGATTCGAGACGCCCTTCTCTCAATGAGTTTGATGCATGTACTGGAGATGCTATGAAATAGTGGGTACTGTTGGGATGAATAGCTTTGAAAAGCTATAAATGAAATTCCTAATTAATTATCCAGTATTTTCCCATAATACATAAATAAGATGGATAATTAATAAAAGGAATATTATGGAGATAATTAGGAATAATTATCTTAATAGATTATATTTTAGTTATGGGAGTAATTATCTCCCTAATTAAAATATGACTTATTCCCAAAGAAAGAGGGAATATTCTGGGTTTTCTGCTCCTATAAATTGGAGACGCCCCAGACCCTCTAAACACACCCCTAGAGAGCAGAAACACGAGAGAGAGTGAGATTCAAAGAGCTCCGGTTTTCCGCACAAAACCGCTGAGCAAATCAAGAGAGTGGCTGTTTTATCCTGGAGGCGACCAGCTGATAGACTGCTGTGCGAATAACGAGGCAGAGCCGCGAAAGTCTTAAAGAGAGCGACCTAGTCTGCGACTCAACACAGGAAAAATTAGGGTTACCGATCTGGCTGAGTCGCGGACTAGGTCGCTCGTTTTAAGACGTTTGTGGCACTGCCTTCATTGCGCACGGCAGACTATCAGCCGGTCGCCTCCAGGATAAAACAGCCATTCTGAATTTGTTGCTCATCGGTTTTGTGCGAAAAACCGGAGCTCTATGAATTCACTCTCTCTCTCGTGTTTCTGCTCTTCTGAGGTGTGTTTAGAGGGTCTGGGGCGTCTCCTATTTATAGGAGCAGAAAACCCAGAATATTCCCTCTTTCTTTGGGAATAAGTCATATTTTAATTAGGGAGATAATTACTCCTATAATTAAAATATAATCTATTAAGATAATTATTCCTAATTATCTCCATAATATTCCTTTTATTAATTATCCATCTTATTTATGTATTATGGGAAAATACTGGATAATTAATTAGGAATTTCATTTATAGCTTTTCAAAGCTATTCATCCCAACAATCCCCCACTTGAATAGTTTTGAAACTATCTTGAGCATCAACAGTTCTATAAGATCGGGCATAAGCTAAGGTATCGCGAAGATTTGAACCTTAGCGTAGTGGTTACACTTCCGATTTCATAAGGGTGACTCGTAGTCTTGAACCCTATCTCAGACAATGTAGCACACCGGATCTTTTCATTGAGTGATATTCTCTCATAGGCCGTGCGTTTATGGCCATGCACGTTATCCCGGTTTAGTGAATGCTCTGGCAACTTTGTGCCTCCAAAGTTCCATAGGGAGCGGCCCCACTCCCACATTCACATAGGTGAGTCTATCAGAAGTACCCCCAAAGTAAAGTACTTCACTCCACATAGAGTATAGATCTCATTAAGAGTTTAACTCAACCTCCAAGGCTTTGGGATTCATGCTTCACTATGCATGAACTTTTCTCAATATTACTCATGACTTGTTATTACCCATTGAACCCATTTCTTGGGATCTCCAGTCTATCGGGTCGGATTACCATCACTTGTAATCCGTGGTTCGGTAGGCATAAGTCCCATACCTTCCGTAGTATTTTGGACTTTTCTCTCTAGGTAATCCTTTCGTCAAAGGACCAGCTAGATTTTGTTAGGATCTTACAGGATCCACCCTCATTGCTCCTATCGTTAGGAGTTCTCTTACAGTACTGTGCTTATGACGAATTTGTCGTCTCTTTTCGTTCTAGAACCGGTTCCCTTCTTTATTAATAGCTGCGGCGCTATCACAATGAATCAAGTACCGGAGGGATCGATCTTTCCCATAAGGGAATCTCTAGTAATGACCCTCTCAATCAACTTTCCTCTTTACTAGCCATTGCTAGTTCTATCATTTCTGATTTCTTAGTTGATTGAGCCAGGATCGTTTACTTCTTAGACTTCCAAGACATAGCTTCTCTATCGATTTTTAAAACACATACTCTTGTTGTCTTGGAGTCCTCTATAGGGTATTCTAATCCGCATCACTATACCCTACCAATACCGCAAAACCATTGATAACAAATACCAAGGGTTTTCTGTTCTTTGAAGGTGTCTCATGACCCCTTTCAATAGCATTTCAATGCTTCATACTAGGACAATCAGTAAGCCTACCAAGTACCCCCACTATGTCGGGTCTCATGTTTATCAACTGCCTCTCGCATACTGTCGATGTTCTTACTTTCTTACACCGTCTTTGGTGCTCTTAAAAATTACACTAGCACCATCAAACATTTATGCAGGTGTAGAACTCGTATTTCCTCTAGATCTAACTGTGTAGTTAAACTGATCTAGATGAAATCTCTTTCATTGTCCTAGTAATCTGGATCTCCGAGCATAACACTTGCTTCATCCAGATCTTTTTACCTTCATAATTCTCAAACAACATGGTTTTTCATAGTATTGACATCACGAGTCTTTGTACCAAAGACTGAAGTGTCATTCATAATGCAAGTGTCATTCTCAAAGTTGTACTAAATGCACTTGTCACTTTCACTTTTAAAACCATGAGAGATAACCAGTTTATTCATGCCATTGTCTTAGAGTCTATTTCAAATCTTACAATGATTTGTCTAACTATAGACTCCCTAAGCATGTTCAAGAATAACAACCCTATAGGTTGTCCCATGTAGATTTTCCTATCTAAATCACCATTCACATAAACATGTTTAACAATCCATCTGACGCACAACACTAGCATTCAGAACATACATGGATGTTATTCTACATATGGTGAATAGATAACAAAAAATTTACAATTTTTCCTTTTCGCTTAAAGCCTTAGCTATTAGGCGATCCTTATACTCATAAACTAAACCAATAGGTTTCACTTTTCTTTTAAGAATCCATTTATTACCCATGACTTCATTGCCAAGAGGTAATTCTCAAAGATGCCAAATCTTGTTCGATTCTATCGATATATTACCCAAGGCTTTTCAACCAAGAGGTAACTCTACAAGATTTTAAGTCTTATTAGACTCCAATAAATCTATTTCGTTAATAATGGATTCTCCCACAATTCTGCATCTTTATGGAAGTTCGAACTTCTAGCAGACTTGTAGGATCTTTCTTTCTTAGGGTGTAAATAACAAATTCATAACCAAAATCCTTTCGTGATTTATGGTTCATTTGTCTCTTCTGAGTTCATACTCAGATTCATCACCCCCACTAGTTATCCATTATTTCTAATAGTAGGCAGAATATCACCCCCACTATTTCTTAATATAAATGGAATCTATTGGTATCAATGGATTTCACAAACTAATGAGTATTTCGTTTCATCAACTTATGTGTTTTACAAAAACTTGCATACTCATATGCTCTTCTTGTTATCATGTTACACTGATTCTCTAACCACATATTTTATGGGTCATTTTGCTTGGATACAAAATTTCTCAAGCGTTCGAGAATAATATGGGAATGTGACTTTAGATATTCTAATTCTTTACAAGGACACACCCGTCCCAAAAAAAGAATCCATCTTAGATCGTCTATCACAGACATGCCTTGGGGCGCTAGTATCCAGCAACCATTCTCCAGAGTTACCATTAAGGCTAACCTCTGTCATCACCTAAGCGATTGTTATTGTCAAATCCTCTTCTTTAATCAAGTTAACACAATACTAAGTTAAACTTGCTCTAACACTTTCGTGTCATATGACCTAGTTTTTCTCAAATTTAATTGATAAACATAGCGTCATTCTTAGAGGATTGAGTGGCAATCTTATGGTTACCACGAAGGGTACCATTCTATTTGGTGTGGATCTGGTTCAGCTTGCTGCTCTCATTCTTGAAACTTTAATGTTCCACAGCAACCTAAGTGGTTCGTGTAGTACTAATAATAGTACTTCTTATAATATCGTTATTATGGGCAATAAACCCATTCTATTCCCATATATTCTTCACGTATATGCATGCATTTAAAAAAAAATCATTATATATACTCCACAACATGTATTCAATTTCTAATCATCGAGGTAATAAATCTCAATGTCAACATGCATCAATTCTAGATTTTCATTTCTAGCATTCATAATGATTCTCAATTCCATGCATATGGTAGATTCTAATTTGTCATTAATAAATGACTCATAAGTAAGGTTTCAGTTCTTACCTCTTTTCCGAGAAGCCATTGGCTCAAGCTCTGAGAATCAATTTCCAAATTGATTCTTGTTTCCCTGATCGAGACTTTCTGAACATGACCCTTCCTACCGAGTTTAACTCCACCACAGGCAGAGGAGCTTGTCCAGGTTCCTTGATTGACTCGGTTGTCTAGCTGAGGTAGGCTATTTATATAGCTTCACTCCTCTTTCCAGCTGCGTATCTTTACTAGGGAACCTCGCGGACAACATCGAGCTTTTACCTTCAAAATTTAAGAACCCGCAGCTCCAAACACTTATCAATGCTGAAGTCTCAATTGGCCAGCATTCCCTTTGTTGACACCGCCTCCCATAACAAGCACACGTCAGTGCACGCCATAATAACCAAATTATATATGCAAATTAGTGCATACCATAAGAAAAAGGGCGACACCCACATATATGACAAAAGGAAGGTTTAAGAGAACAAATTAATTAAAGCAGGAAAGAGTCCCAAATTTTCGCTGCCACTCGGCCCGGGAAAGATCAAACTCGAAGAGTTGGACCTGAAATTCATTTGGGCCAACAGAATTCCACAGAGTGACGTGATCCACTTTGCTGGTGGAACTTGGACGAGAGCAATTAATCATACAGGGGAATTTTCCCTTTTGGCCCGGGACGGAATTGAGGGAGCAGTCGGAGCTTTCCCCTCCGAGGCGTTATTCCTTTCTCCCTGGAGCTTTCTTCTTTCTGATACGGCAGAGTGCGAGCTTGGACGCAACAACAGAGTCGAGCCCTAGCGCGGGGATGGGCAGCAAGCAATACTCGTGCATGATCCAAGAACAACAAGTCTGCGGTTGCTCCTGCAATTGAATGAAGACTACAAAACCGCTTCCCCGGTAATTATCAGTGCGGGACCACTCAACAGAGAACATAAAGGATAAATCAAAGGCAAAATCATAAATCAAATAACCGGCAGAACCACAATTCCCTCGATTTTCATAACCGTCTTCAGTTGATCGACTCCCAGCAGTAGGCTAGGTTCGGAAATAAAAGCATTCTGCCTGTTCCTTGTAAGTTGCTTCGTGGAGGACACAAGATCGTCAAGAACAATCGCGATGCGCGACAACCACAAATCATTTGTTCAGATCGATCGGCACGGCGATAGTAACTATCTCTGAGCATCAACAGTTCCATAAGATCGGGCATAAGCTAAGGTATCGCGAAGATTTGAACCTTAGCGTAGTGGTTACACTTCCGATTTCATAAGGGTGACTCGTAGTCTTGAACCCTATCTCAGACAATGTAGCACACCAGATCTTTTCATTGAGTGATATTCTCTCATAGGCCGTGCGTTTATGGCCATGCACGTTATCCCGGTTTAGTGAACGCTCTAGCAACTTTGTGCCTCCAAAGTTCCATAGGGAGCGGCCCCACTCCCACATTCACATAGGTGAGTCTATCAGAAGTACCCCCAAAGTAAAGTACTTCACTCCACATAGAGTATAGATCTCATTAAGAGTTTGACTCAACCTCCAAGGCTTTGGGATTCATGCTTCACTATGCATGAACTTTTCGCATACTACTCATGACTTGTTATTACCCATTGAACCCATTTCTTGGGATCTCCAGTCTATTGGGTCGGGTTACCATCACTTGTAGTCCGTGGTTCGGTAGGCATAAGTCTCATACCCTTGACGGTACTTTGGACTTTCTCTCTAGATAATCCTTTCGTCAAAGGATCAGCTAGATTCTGTTAGGATCTCACATGATCCACCCTCATTGCTCCTATCGTTAGGAGTTCTCTTACAGTACTGCGCTTACAACGAATTTGTTGTCTCTTTTCGTTCTAGAAGCGGTTTCCTTCTTTAGTAATAGCTGCGGTGCTATCACAATGAATCAAATACCGGAGGGATCGGTCTTTCCCAGGGAATCTCTAGTAATGACCCTCTCAATCAACTTTTCTCTTTACTAGCCATTGCTAGCTCTATCATTTCTGATTTCTTAGTTGATTGAGCCAGGATCGTTTACTTCTTAGACTTCCAAGACATAGCTTCTTTATCGATGTTTAAAACACAACCTCTTGTTGTCTTGGAGTCCTCTATAGGGTATTCTAATCCGCATCACTATACCCTACCAATATAGCAAAACCTTTAATAACAAATACCAAGGTTTTTTCTGTTCTTTTAAGGTGTCTCATGACCCCTTTCAATAGCATTTCAATGCTTCATACTAGGACAATCAGTAAGCCTGCCAAGTACCCCCCACTAAATCGGGTTTCATGTTTATCAGCTGCCTCTCGCAGACAGTAAATGCTAGTATATTCTAACTTTCTTACACCGTCTTAGGTGTTCTTCAAATATTTATACTAGCATCATCAAACATGTATGCAGGTGTACATCTTGTATTTTCCTAGTTATTAGGATCTCTAAGCATAACATTTGTTTCATTTAGATCCTTCACATTCAAAATTCTCAACCATCATGGTTTTTCAATATTGACATCACAAGTCTTTGTACCAAAGATCCATGTGTCATTCTCAGAGTTGTACTAAATGCACTTGTCATTCTTAAAACCATGAGAGAGAACCCGTCTATTCATGCCATCGTCTTAGAGTCTATTTCAAATCTTACAATGATTTGTCTAACTATAGACTCCCTAAGCATGTTCAGGAATGACAACCCTATAAGTTGTTCCATGTAGATTTTCCTATATAAATCACCATTCACAAAAACATGTTTAACAATCCATCTGACGCACAACACTAGCAATCAGAACATACATGGATGTTATTCTACATATGGTGAATAGATAACAAGAAAACTTGCAATTTTTCCTTTTCGCTTAAGGCCTTAGCTATTAGGCGATCCTTATACTCATAAACTAAACCAATATGTTTCACTTTTCTTTTAAGAATCCATTTATTACCCATGACTTCATTGCCAAGAGGTAATTCTCAAAGATGCCAAATCTTGTTCGATTCTATCGATATATTACCCAAGGCTTTTCAACCAAGAGGTAACTCTACAAGATTTTAAGTCTTTATTAGACTCCAATAATTCCATTTCGTTAATAATGGATTCTCCCACAATTCTGCATCTTTATGAAAGTTCGAACTCCTAGCAGGCTTGTAGGATCTTTCTTTCTTAGGGTGTAAATACCAAATTCATAACCAAAATCCTTTCGTGATTTATGGTTCATTTGTCTCTTCTGAGTTCATACTCAGATTCATCACCCCCACTAGTTATCCATTATTTCTAATAGTAGGCAGGATACCACCCCCACTATTTCTTAATATAAATGGAATCTATTGGCATCAATGGTTTTCACAAACTAATGAGTATTTCATTTCATAGGCTTATGTGTAATAACTTACACACTCATATGCTTTTCTAGTTATCATGTCACTGATTCTCTAACGCTACCACATGCATGCCACATATCGAATAATCAGTGCAATCATAGTGCAACTAGGCATTTCAAACTATTTCGAATAACTAGTTAGACAATCAGAGCACTCTAAAGAGCAATAAATCATTTATTGTCTTTTCCATCAAGTTTACCCATATCAACATAAATCAGATTTATTGATTCTGATTCTCTAATCACATATTTATGGGTCCTTTAGCTTGGATATACAAAATTCATATTTTTCTCAAGCATCCAATAATAATATGGGAATAAGATATTCTAATTCTTCACACAGACACACTTGAAAGAATTTATCTTATCTACTTAACCATTCCTTACGTCTCGGAAAGTCAATGACTTTCTAGAGGTAGGGTTCTTTTCCACTTTCCCAGAACCATCAACTATAGTGGTGAGGGTCTTGCCCAACAACACTTTCTCCTTCAATACGCCTTAATGCATGATTGAGCTTAGCTACTTTATGAGATGCATGCCTTAGGCGTCAATATCCAACCACCATTCTTCAGAATTGCCATTAAGGCCTATCACCCCATTAGCGATTATTACCACCAAATCCTCTTATGTAGTCAAGTTAACACTAGGTTAAACTTGTTCTTACACTTTCGTGTCTTATGACCTAGTTTCTCACAAATAACAGAGGAACATAGCGTCATTCTTAGAGGATTGGGTGGCAATCTTATGGTTACCACAAAGGGTACCATTCTATTTGGTATGGATCTGGTTCGGCTTGCTGCTCTCATTCTTGAAACTTTGATGTTTCAAAGCAGCCTAAGTGGTTCGTGTAGTACTGATAATAGTACTTCTTACAATATCGTTATTATGGGCAATAAACTCATTCTATTCCCATATATTCTTCAATGCACACATTTAGACAAAATCATTCTTTCCATAGCATGTAATCAATTTATGCTCTAATCATCGAGATACGTAATATATCTTAATGTCAACTTATCATGCATCAATTCAAGCTTTCATTCTAGCATTCATAACCTTTCTCAATTTCATGCATAAAACCTTATGAAATTTGTCATTCATTAATGACTCATGAGGAAGGTGTCAGTTCTTACCTCTTTTCAAGAAGTCATTTCCTTCTAACATTTGTAGTTAATAGCTAGCCATACATAGCTTCTTTGTTGCTCGTTTTGCTTCTCTCCACAACCTTTAAGACTAGCACTCAACATCGTGCATTTTCCTTGTTCTATGGTCGTGGATTATGGCTTCTAGGATAACTTCTGCTTCTCATTGAGCCTTCTATCGCTTGGTTTGGGCCCTATTAGTTACACGCAGCAACTTGCTGGAACGGAACACGTCGAGGTTGCACCCTCCATAGTTTGCTCCGTAACGTGGCTGCAACTGAAGCTGAAAATCCCCTTTTGCAACTGGAACTGAAAGCCCAATTGTGAAAGGACTTGACGGGCTAGGGGTTGGAATTCTTGCTTTCAGTGCTATAGGTGGTGCAACCTGGAGGTAGATTCCTCCTTCTTCATTGATTTACGCCGCCGGAGGTGGCTACTTGGCTCCGGACATAATTTCAGCACGCTGGTTATGGAAGAGATATGACTGCGGCAATCTTGAAAAAGCAACGCGCAGCGAAGGAAATCGATCGAGCCAGAATTGGTATCCTCCTTTGGTACACATGACAAAAACCAAACGTCTTAAAATTGTTACAAACCGAACAGAAAAATTAGGGTTACCGATCTGGTTGAGTCGCGGACTAGGTCGCTCTCTTTAAGACTTTCGCGGCTCTGCCTCGTTATTCGCACAGCAGTCTATCAGCCGGTCGCCTCCAGGATAAAACAGCCACTCTCTTGATTTGCTCAGCGGTTTTGTGCGGAAAACCGGAGCTCTTTGAATCTCACTCTCTCTCGTGTTTCTGCTCTCTAGGGGTGTGTTTAGAGGGTCTGGGGCGTCTCCTATTTATAGGAGCAGAAAACCCAGAATATTCCCTCTTTCTTTGGGAATAAGTCATATTTTAATTAGGGAGATAATTACTCCCATAACTAAAATATAATCTATTAAGATAATTATTCCTAATTATCTCCATAATATTCCTTTTATTAATTATCCATCTTATTTATGTATTATAGGAAAATACTGGATAATTAATTAGGAATTTCATTTATAACTTTTCAAAGCTATTCATCCCAACAGGTACCATATTCAATTTCCATCTCCTTCCCGGCTCCTCTGTTTTCTAAAAGGAATCGTTTATACTTTAATTTATGGGTTTTTGGTGTTTGGTAAGATGGTGGTTTTTTGGATTTTGCTATGACTAAAAAAACCAGTTCTTGAGGATAGTTTAATCCTTACAGATTTGGTTTAGTTTGTTGATTGGTTCTCTCAACTCAAAGGCTTCATTTTGTAGGTTTGGACCAAGCTAACTATGAAGAAAAGAGCGTTGAGGACCGGTAAATTAAGGTTCAACCATTAGTTAAGATTTCCATATGCTGTGGTGGGTTAATCGGTTGTTGTTTGCTTTTAATTTTTGAAATTTCCTCTAAAACCATCACCACTCCTGTTCGGTTTTGATTATTTCGTTCCAGTGTCATTCCAATTGAGGCCCTCAGTCTGTTATTTCCAATGTTGTCAGAACCGAACCGGAGCATGACTCGGTAATGCGAACGGCTCGCACTTTAGTGGTCCAACCGGCATTAGACTGTTTAAAAACCGTTAGAGAACCGATACCTAATAAACGTTATCAGTATAAATAGTGGACATTTCTTAATCAGAGCTTATCTCTTTCCTTCAAAATTGTGAAATGGAAATAAGGATTCAATTTAAGAGCCCGACGTTTTTTGTTTTTTTCAATTTTCAATTTTCTACAATTTTTTTAATTAAATTTAGTGGTTGAATGGCAAATACCGGACGAGCGGCTCGATCGACTCAAACGGCTAACCGCCTCGACCGCTCGCCAACCGCTACATAAAACCGGAACGGCTTTTAGACTGTTTCGAGCCGATTTTGTGACCAGGTGACGGTTTTACCGGTCGGGCCGAGCGGCTCGGCTCGGCTTTAATAACACTGGTTATTTCTCTTTGTCATCTCGGAAGTTGTTCAGTTTTGCTTATTAGGTTGCTTCTGATAAGCCAATTGGCAGTGCGTTTGGTTAGGATGAAGAAGGTTAGAGATATGAATAAGTTGAAGAAGCTTGCTTTAAAGGTATGCTTTGCTTTCGATGGAGTGTTTTTTCCATGTTGGTGTTTCCTTTGCCTTTTCACAATGCTGGTTGAACTTTTTAAAGTGCTAGGTGGTTTTTCTTTTCTGTTGGATTAAGTGCATTCTGTTTTTCAAACACAGTGTATCTATCACAGAGCATCCCCAATGGAAGTCATTCAATGGCTGAAGCATAAGAATGCCATTTCTTTAAGATGGTAAGTTTGTGCTTATCTTGATGACCATACCGTTAGCCTTTCACAGAACTAACGTTTCTTTGCTGCAACTGTTTCTGGACTACATCAAGGTCAATAGGACTTAGTGTCCGCATTTAAGAGCCATTTAGTAATCACTTCCTCGTGTTTATCAGTTTATGTTTGAAATTAAATTGCCTTCTATAAAGACTAATTGGTCCTACCTGATTTACAGGTCCATTGCAAGGTGGCTAATGGCAGCAAGTAGACAGAATGACATGAGAGTGCCTGGTAGCTCTGAGATTGAGGCTATGCCAGCATGGGGAGCAGGGGCAGCACGGACTGTTGTAATTTCTAAGTTATACAGCCCCAGAAGTAAAGATCAACACATGAAAGACTTGCAAACAAGCCAAAAGGTAGTGGGTTTGTTAGCAAAAAGATGACTTATTGGGCGACTGGTGTCCGAGATTATGGCCAATTATATCCATGTATAAAGCCTACTTCAAAATATAAGATGATGCAGTAGTGTTTTTGGTTTTTATCAACCATGACTCGATCTGAGCCTTTAGCAACAGTTTGCTGTACTTTCTTGCATAGCCGGAATGTTTTAAGTTTTTGAGAAAACCATATTGATTTTGTCTGAATAATGAGTTTCATCGCTGGAAAGAGCACTTTTCACTATCCAAATTTGCTTGCATACAAATTACAAATTGATACGTGCTTCTTTCCCTTTTATCCTATTCTCTGCCCTTACTTAGTTTGCCAGACATGAACACTAAAAGAACCATCGTGCTGGTTGAATATGGAACTCAATATGATAAAGTTGCTGCAACTTTAGTTCTCGCGAAGTAGCCGCGGGTATTGATTCTAGTAGTATATAAAAAAAGCTTTCTCGCCACAAATTATATGAATTCAATTGGAAAATGGAAAAAGAGAGTGGGTCTATATAGTATTAGGCCAATTAGGGTAGAAATTTGATTTGTGGTTCGTGGATAACCCGTAAAATCGCACCAAATTGCACACATTGTGGGTAATCATATCAATAATTTGTGAGTGGTGAATTGGGTGTGGTAAACAAAATTTTGAATTTTGTGGTTAGTTAGGTAACCACTAACCAGTAACCACAGTGGTTAACTCATAAAACCCACTATAATCGCATTAGTATAACAAACTTGTGATTTATCTTCAAGTCCATCATACTTATTGATAATATTTGGTAATATAACTAGCACAAGGCTCCGTCTATTGCCGACAGAGTTCGATAGTTATATAAATTCTATTTGTAATTTTCTATCGCCGGCAAAGTTTGATGGTTATATAAATTCCCAGTGTGATTAACACTAACAATATGTGTTTTGTTTGGTATTTGACCATAAACTATCTAGGCAAATACTCAAATTACTTCGAGTATGCTTTGAACTTATTGAAAATATGAGAAAGTCAAAATTACTAACAAAGAAATGGAGCTAATAGTAATATGTATGTTTACAAATTACAACAAAGAATTGCTTACTATAATACATACATAATCAATCTTCACAATAAAAACCGCACCCGCAGGGTAGAAATTTTTAATGCTTGGGTTTGGGTTCTGTGTTCTCCAAACCGTAAATATGGGTCGGGTAACTATGAAGACTCAAAACCGACCCACTCGGCCAGGTACACCACTAATCTCTGGCTCTAATCCTGTGGATGGCGAGTTAGCAACAATAGCAAAAAAGGACAATCCTTGCAAATCCTTGACAAACTAGGATTCACTTTCTTTCGCAATCACTACCATGGTGCCTGCCTTGCTTGGAGTTCACTTTCGAGCTTGTCTCTCCATCTTGATGTAACGAATGGGATCAAAGGGTAAACAGGATATAGTTTGGGGACTAGTTTGTAATTAGGAAGGCATATAAAACAAAGGGTCTGCTGTAATGGAGAGTTATCGAATAACAATTTACACAATTTGCTTCTTCTGGCCTATCTCTTCTTCTTCCTCCTGTTCTTCCTCTTCTCCTTCAACTTTCTTTCCCTTTCTTACTCTTTCTCTGTAACCCAACAACTCGCCAAGACTATTCTTTCTCCCAGGGTGTGACAAGGTGGTATCAGAGCCCTGTCTTGGCACAATGGCGATGACTCGAGGTACAATCGACGAACGCTTGACTAGTTTTATGGCGTCTTCAGCTCAGGCGGCGGCGGAGCTCGACGACAAGATCGCCAATTCGCATATGGTTCAATTGCAGGCGCTCCTGACCCGCGCGGAAGGTCACTCGCAACAATTCGTCACTCTGACGACGCGATTGGACGGGCTAGAGACTCGTTCATCGACTCGCTTCACCGAATTGGCAACTCGTTGGGATAATCGCTTTGATCGATTAACTCGAGAGGTTCGCGATATGCTTCACGGAATTCTTCCTCTTAGGCCGGTGGAGGCAATTGTCGCGCGGTTGCACCGCTGGAGGATCGGATTGGCGCTGAGGGCATTTTGCCTCTTCCCCAAAATCATCAAGTAGCTGAGCGGGAGCCCTTTCAAGCTGCTCCAGCCCGAGGTAATGCTCATCTACTGCCCCGATTAGAATTTCCCTCTTTCGATGGTGAAGCTCCTCGAGAATGGATTAGCAAATGCGACAAATTGTTTGAGACCTATGCAATCCCTAATGACCAGAAGGTAAATTTGGCTGTGATCGGTTTTGAGCAACGGGCTGCTGTCTGGTTTAAAGGTTGGAATTACGGCAAACGTGAATTACTGTGGGAGGATTTTGTGGTTGCTTTGTGCCAGCGATTTGGTAATCGTACTTATGGGGGTGTGGTAGCTGCATTCAATAAACTTAGGCAGCGGGGCTCTTTGACTGAGTATCAAGAGAAGTTTGAGGAGTTGAGGTCCCTGATGTCGCAATTCAACCCAGCCTTGGACGAGATTTATTTCATTAGCAACTTTATCAATGGATTAGAGCAGGAGTTGCGGCTAGCCATGTCCATGATGCAGCCCCAAACATTAGCTGAAGCTTATCAGCAAGCTCGGTTGGAGGAAGTTGCCATCGAGACTTGCAAAAGAAAGAAGCAATCTCATCTTGGTGATTACTTAGAGATGGATGGGGATACAAGGGCTGTGACTGTTGAATCCTTTCTTTCTCCGAACATGGTTGATGGGAATGGTGGTTTACTTGCTGAAAAAGAATATATTCCTATTGTTACACCTGGCTCAACTGTAAAAGAACCTGGGCTGTTTTATTCGGAGTTGCAAGGTGTTTCAAACAAGCATATGGAAGTGGCTGGTTATGTGCATGATGAGGGCAGCTGGGTTCACAGTTGGATGTTGATGAACTGTCATAGGTATCGTGTCCTCGTGTGAAGTTTAAACAAGGAGATACATGTATCAACTACAAGGAACCATATGTGGAAGCTTTGGGGGCTAATGCTGTTGGTGATTGTTTTAGTTCGGATAATGGTGCCACTGAAACTCAGGTGCAACAAAACTTAATTCATGATGATACTGATGTCCTACCTGTTGATTCTCTTGAATATCGAAGTTATTATGGTGTTGTATTCTCTGATGGATCGTTGATGAATTTCCCGGATACTGGTGGCAATGATTTTGTTATTGGAAGGCCATTTCCTACCCAGCCTGCCCTTCTTTTCACTCATTACAGTGAAGGCTTGATTCCTGGTAAAGGGGATTGTATTTTGCTGAAATTTCATGGGTACTGGTGGCCTCGGGTGAAGATTAAAAGAAGTGACGTGTTTTCCAACTTCAAAGAGCCATATAACGATTTGGGTTCAAGGGCTGTTGTTGGATTTGATGCTGAGTTGCTGTTGTTGAGGTCGAAACTGCTTTCCAGACGGGGTAGACAGATTGCATGTGTTGGCGTTGTAGCTGAAGCGATTTTCAGTGGTGGTTATGAGCGCTACAGTGTGGGTGTTAGTAAGATGGATAAGGGGTTTTTCGCCTAGGTGAACGAAATTGGCAGCCTAGATCATAGCTGGGTGTTAGTGAGCAGTCACGGTTTGTGGTGTCCTCGGGTGCAGTTAAAACGAAAGGTCGCTTGTCCCGACTTTAAGGAGCCATACAAAGATTATTTTCTCGTGGAAGGCCAGCATGAAGAGCTCTGTAATTGGAAGTTTCATTGGGTTTGGGGGCTGAATAGTGACAAAGCTACTAATGCTGCAAGTGACTCATTCCAGGCTACTTTCTTGGCTTCTCTTAAAGTTCATGCCACTATCATTACTTCCTCTGCTGCTGTACCATTGAGGGAAGATGATATTTCCAACACCTTTAGCATTTATGGGCTAGAGAAACATGGCATTGGTCGTGGAATTGGTTTGTTGATGGCCCAAGGGAAAGTTCAGCAAGCTGTTTTCATGATCGGGCGTGAAGATGCAGTTGACTTGCAGCATGTTAATGGTGATCGAATGATAGGTGGTAGGTTCGATAGTTGCTTGGTGTTGGGGGAATCTCAAGGGAGAGGTATTGGCTTTGACTTCAAAGAGCCATACAAGGAGTTTGATTGGGCTATGGTCCTTTCTTATGGAAGAGGTAATTGTCCTGGATTCAAGGAGCCTTACAAGGATTCTTCTTTCGAGGAGGGACATGTTGAAGATTGGTTTGGTTGGGATTCTTTCCAATACTGGTTGTTGTGATGTACAGAGATGCATATGCTGCATAAGTTTGTTTTTTGGAGTGGCTTTGCAAGCTTTCTGCAAATGAGTTCATCCCTGTTTCTTGAATGTTTTTACATTGCAGGATTGATTCTTAGTTGCTAGTTTCTTGTTGTTTTCAAGAGGCTTGAGGACAAGCCTGATTTTAAGGAGTGGGGATTGTAACGAATGGGATCAAAGGGTAAACAGGATATAGTTTGGGGACTAGTTTGTAATTAGGAAGGCATATAAAACAAAGGGTCTGCTGTAATGGAGAGTTATCGAATAACAATTTACACAATTTGCTTCTTCTGGCCTATCTCTTCTTCTTCCTCCAGTTCTTCCTCTTCTCCTTCAGCTTTCTTTCCCTTTCTTACTCTTTCTCTGTAACCCAACAACTCGCCAAGACTATTCTTTCTCCCAGGATGTGACACTGGAAAAGGTCAGTTTTGAATCGACAATCAAGTAGATTGAAGCGCTGGGGATGGAGGGTTTGGGAATTGGGAGTTGCCCCTTCTAATTCAAATTTCGAGGCACGTAAAGAGAGAATTAACGGCAACAAAGTCCTCTTCCGATTTTTTCTTCTTTCGAAATGAGAGCTCCGAGAGCTAGTTAAAAATGTAACGCTATTACGCTAAACGTCTCAAAAGGAATCATTCCAATGCTCTTGCCTGCCAGTTCTATTCCTCGATAGTTCCCCCCTCTCTAGTTAAAATCCCTCGGATTCTACAACTATAACAACCCAAAAAACAAATAGCACTGAAAAATGTCTCAACTAGCATGGACTTGCTCTCTCTGCTTTGCTTTCTTCTTTTCTTCCTAAAGCTCGTCCTGCAGATTCCAAAAATAAACGTAATCATCATCGGCAGACTGAAAAAGGTAAGAAAGAAAGAAAAAAATTGCTAAAATGGTCTGAGTTAGTAGTCCAGTCAAGTTAAAAAAACGTACATGTAGTTCTTCATCCTTGACATCGTCATCACTCTCTGCTGCCTCGGCTTTGAGGTCGGAGTCATCTTCTGTGTCGTCATCTTCGGCATCATCATCCTCAGCCTGTGATTCCCATCCAACAACAGTTAAAACATGTTAAAACACACACATGTGATGACACAGAAAGTGAGAGGGAGAGACGAAGTCGAGTGGATAGTATTGAGAATGCTTACATCAGAATCAGCAGGGTCGTCCTTGGACGATTCCTCTTCCTCTCTCTTCTTTTCAGCTTCGTCGAATGCTGCCTTCTCAGCCTATTGTCAAACAAATCCAGCAATTGTTTGATCAGTCTACCATGCAAGGAGCTCTCTATGAACACTGGAGGCTTGAGAAGGCCAGAAGAAAACTATACTTACATCTTTGTTCTTCGCCCATGTTTCTTCAGCCAACTTCTTGGCGTATTCAGGATCGTCGCAGATCAAGACATTGTCAAACAGGGTTCCAGATTTCACCTGCCACAACTCAATTCCCACATACTTCAAGTTGGGGAAAACATAGATCTCTGGATCGTCCTTGAAATCTGCCAAAAACAACACGATTTATAAATATCACAGATAAGCTATCATGGCACAGGAGCAGTGAAGGACAGTTCATAAAGCTAAGTTAAACCTGGGTTGTCAATCATCGGAGCCTTCCACTTGCCCTTGTAGTTGGGGTTCTTGATTTTCTGAACAAGTGTGGAGACATCAAATCAGAACTACAGGACAGCGTGTATCAACAATCAAATAACTTCCTTGTTTTCAACAGTCAAATCACAAACCTTTGCGTTCCATGGACCCTTGTACTCAGGGTTGGGAATAGTTGGGGCAGTCCACTCACCATCTTCCTCATCATCCCAATCTTCAGGCTACAGTGGGAAAGACAATCTCTAATTAGAGAATGCTTCAATAAAAACCATGACAAAAGAATGATAGAAAAACTTAGGACTTAGCAATTACCTTGGTGGCCTCGGTATCGGGAATCTCCTTAGGGATGTCATCATATCCCTATATCAACAGATCAACATCATCACTTACAGGTTTCTACTGAATTCTACATCAAAGAAAGATTAACTAGGTCGATGCTCTTATAGTTTACCTCTGGCTTCTTGTCCTCAGGATCATCAATGTACTCCTTATCATCCCAATCCTCAGGCTTCTTAGCTTCAGGATCCTTGATTGTCTTGGGAGGAAGAAGGCTCCAGTCGGAGTACAAGCTGCCAGTTTGCTTCTCCACATTGTCAATCAGAATGCTGTAAGTAGCATCAGGGCGAATGATAAACGTGTAAACATGCGAGAGTTGGTCAGTCTCGCAGGGAACTTCCTTCTTGATCAAGTGGTTTGTTCCATTGTAAGTCAGAATAGCATGGACTTTCTTGGTACTGTAGCCACAGATATCAGGTCCAAACATAATACTGCAGCGAAATAGAAAACGCTCCCACATCAGAAATCAAGAGACAACAAAGTCTAAACCAATGGCAGAGTCAAATTCGGAGCTAAATGGGTAACCTGTATGGAGTGTCACCACCGAACTTAGTCTGGTCGACGTCACCACTCATCAGCTTCATGTACCCACCTCCACAGTCAAGCTTCTGCTCGTGCTTGACAGAGAATTGAAAGACTAGGGTTTTTTCCTTGTTGCTGAATTCCGGATACTCTGCTGAAATAGCATAGAACCTGTAGTCTTCGCTTGTCTGGATACCTGCATTGGAATTTTGCCGCAAAAATAATATAAGAAAGCCAGCTATCAGTAATGAATCATATACCTTCCACTAGTTAAACCTCAATGCACACACACAATTAGGAAACCTAATTGATCAGAAAATAATTTTCACCTTTGTCATCAACGTTGCCATTCCACTTTCCTGCGGTGTAGTTCCACTCCCCAGCCATGTTCTCATCTTTCTTCCAGTCGGATTTAACCCATCTCTTTTCCCATCCATCTTAAATTAGAAATACAAAACAAATGGAATCAGTCAAATGCTAATGCTATACAACCTGACAAACAAAGCCCATAGTCAGACCATCCAACTTTTAACATTTGACCTTCCAAACTACTGGGATATTCATACTTTACAAATGACAATCGCAGCTACCAAAGACACCAAACAAATCTGTCCATCATCAGTTCGCAGTCTATATCAACTCAACAGCTCACAACTCGATCCGAGGCCAAACAATCAACTAAAGCAAGCCTGCACTACGACAACTCGACAAGAGCAACAACCGCTCAGTAATCCAGTCATCCATTCGCAGATCTAAACAAAAACCGACCCGTTCCGAGTTCGTCACTCGCTAGCAATCCAAATTCAAGCAGTAACGATCAGATCCAAACAATTCTAACATTCGCCGGCAATGGCATTATCCACTCAAAACGACGATTACTAAGCCTGATCCTGAGGCGAACTACCTCTAACGGCATTTAATGAGACTATTCCATGAACTGAAACCCGAGCCAACGCTAACAAGCAGAGAATTGATCTGAACCCGCAGGAATCAAAAACATCAAGGAAATGGAGATCTCGAAAGGGAGGGACAACGATGATACCTTCGAATTTCTCTTCGAAGAAGACGGTGGCAGAGGCGAGGGCGAGAGAAGATAGGAGGAGGATCAAGCAGAGCGAATTAGGGTTCGCCATGGCCGGAGCACGAGACGGAGAGGAGGGCGCTGTTGGTGGACTGAGAGAAAAGAGAGTGCGAGAGTGGTGAAAGAGGTTTTATAGCAGGACTTTTGTTCATTGGTTCTGACGGCGGGCGGGGACTTTCACTTCCCCCATTCGCCGTTAACGTCACACGTGGATGACGGGAGTGCAGGCAACAAATGATAGTACGCCACGTCATCTAAGGGTGTCATTTGTGTCAACGTGGCGGTGGGCGATTGGGAAGCAAAATCGAAGTGCCGCTGTTTTCTTCTGAAGGTTAGGATATGCTTTGGGAAGATGCCACGCTGCGGTTTTTTTCGCAGGGGCAGGCGGTGGCAGTGTTTACACGTGGCAAATTTCCAGGGGTGGGGTCGAATGGAAATTGCATGGAATTAATTAGAATTTGTTTAACACTTGGAATTTTTTAATTATAAAGGAATTAATTTTTCTGGATAATGCAAGAAATTTTTATTTTAACACTTGGAATTAACTTTTATTATTATAGAGAAACTAATTAGAATATGGGGTTAATATTTGACGTTTTTTCTTTCCTTTGGGGAGATAAGGATTTGGAATTAGTTCTCTCGTGGAAGATCACATGTCTAACGGGTTCGATACGGGACGGATAATACATTTCCGTAACCCTACTCAAAATAGTTCGGGTTTTACCCATATTCATTTTTACATAAAGAATAGGGTTTAAATTTAAAACCATGCTCATACTCGTTCGAATTTCGGGTATCAACGGTCATCCATGGATAATAATTTTTTTTTATAACTCCAACCAACATGTTAACATTTACATATACACTCACATTACATAAGTGAAAAAGTACGATAATAATACACTAGATGAATAAAATTAATCTCAAACAATACAAGTTCATCAAAATATTATATTTGTATGCTAAATATAAAATAAGTTGAGAAAAATAATGATTATTTCTAGACAAAATAGAAAATGCATATGTGTATAATCGGGCGGATTCGAGTTAGATAGTGAGAAAATCATGTCCACCCATTACCCGAAATATTCGAGTTTGGGTTTTATCAATGCCCGCTAAAAATTCTTCGGGTTCGAATTTTATCCTACCCGATTGGATCGGATTCATGCGATATATACGATTCCGGATATTTTTGTCATCCCTTTCTTTGTGGAGTTCGGGTATATGTAGTAAAAAAAATATATCATTTCTCAAGTTTATTATATTATCATCTAATTTTTGTGTCCTTCAATTTCATATTTTAGTAAATTTTACAAATAGGTTTGGGATTTTATGGCAAACTTACCTTTCAAGGCCTAGATATGTTTGTGAACTTAAGAATTTGAAAAACAGGTTCTAGCAACGTTATAGCGAATTTCTAATTATTGTTGGAGGGAAAGGTATCACTAACAAATATGTAGGGGAACGAAAAGAGTTTGACCTTGAAACTTCCCTTACTGCAACCAAATCAAATTGATCACCTTATTGTTGACTACCCTTCAGGAAGAAGAAACAACTTCAAAGAGGCTCCAATCCAATGGTGTCCCCTATAGCTGCTAAAGCCGTTTGGAGTTTTTGTCATAAACCTGCCAGGCATTTTCACTTGCATTGAGCCGGTCTCAAGTACGTCGTCAATGACATTCAAAAAACATCGGACTATTTAGAAACTTATTTATGCCAAAAACTCGAATCGTTGACTGAGACTATGTTTATATACTGTTATGTTTAAAGCAATTGTTTTCAACATATCTTGTCCATACTTCTTCCCTTCTTTCTATATGGGTAGATTAGATGGCAATAACAACAATTTTAGGACTTCATAAGAAACAGGTCAGGGACAGGAATCAAGAATTCGCCATAGATATATTAGTTAACCTAACTCAATGTTGAAGCCAAAAGGCTATGGCTTTCTCAACAAGCCGCAACATGAACAATCGTGATAATTCCTTCAAGATTCCAACTTTACAAGCACATATTTAGTCAATCGATAAGCATCAACCACCTACGACCCATCTGTGCATCCACATGAACTTCAAAAGACAGAAGGCCACATAGAATCCTACTATTCAGGCAGCCGCGTGAATGCAAAGGCACATGAACTTTCATGGCAAGACCAGTAACAGGATACTGAAAAGACAAGCTCTCATCATAACAAAGCAAACTATCACCTGGAGCAAAAATGCAGCTTTCTCAACGAGCAACAACATGAACCATTCTCCTATTCGTTCAAGATTCCAACGTACCAGCTCCCATGTCGTCAAAATTGAGCAACATATGCATCAACCACCTCCCAACCCAGTTGTCCACCAAAACTTATCCTATGATTCAGACAACAAATGAGTCGCCCATGAAGGCAAAGGCGCATGAACCTTCATGGGAAGACCAGTCATAGGATGCTCAAAAGACAAGCTCTCTGCATGTAATTCATGGCCACTACCACTTCCGCATCCCACTCATGAACTCCTTCATACTTCACATCACCCTTTATCGACAACCCGATAAACTGGCAATGCAAGCGAATTTGATGCGTCCTTCCACTCCTAGGAAACGCCCTAATCAAAACCTCATCCAGCATTTCACCACCACCACTATTATTACCACATTTCACTGATTTCTCCTTAACAGCTATAGTTTCCCCACATTCTTCCTCTAATGATTCTCCTAAGCTTCTTCTTATCCCATTCACAGACAACACCTCGAATGAAGTCTCCATGTCCCTAACCGAAGACCCACCGGGCAAGATTCGGCCTGCATTTGATGCTGCATAGACACGCCACGCCCCGAATTTGGACCGACCATGGCCTGATTTAACTTTAATCCTTTTCCAATTTGGAGATGGACCAATGCATGAAGCAATGTAAGTCTTTCCTCACCTTGTGATCAGTAAATGCCTTGACTAGCTTAGCGGCTACCTTGTGCGACTTGGTGATGATCATCACGCCGCTCGTGTCTCGATCTAGCCGATTGGCCAGGTGGAGCTCCGGGGATCCCTTTGTATTATCTGCAACACAAACATCTAGTTTTAGAGCGCGGAATTCAAATTCATGGTAGTGTTAAGGGGGAAAATTGTTCACAATAACTAAACATGAAATAGGAAACTTCAATTGCACAGGACGGAACAAACAATGATTTACCAATGGCCGCTGCGACTTGGGCGATTTTTGAGCGGGAAAGGAGAAGGGCTGGGACGGATGTCAAGACGGCCTCGCAGTAAATTCCTTGAGGTTTATTGACGACCATCAGCCATTGATCTTCAAACAAGACTTCAGACGCTGACAAGGAGAAAAGGCTGGATCTTGAAGAGGTGGACATGGCTCTGGCGAGCTCTATCTCCTTGGAGATGGCGGGAAGAGGTGGGGATAGGGTAGTTTTGGAGGGAAATAGAAGGGGAAAGCTCAGAAGGGTTGTTGGTGAAAGTTGACATTTTAATGGCGGGGATTATGTGAAGGGAGAAGTAGAAGAGGGGTTTCCTGGAGACGAGGAAGAAGAGTTTTGCGGGAAGAGAGATGGAGTTCATTAGTTAAAGAGGTTTGATTCTTGAGAAATTGGTTGGCCAAGTGTGTCTTTGGCCAATTGGCTAACTGTATAGCAAGGTTGTCAAACCGGATTAAGCCATCTAACCGGTTTAACAAGATGTTTGAGGTTTAATGGTCGAATCAGAGTTCAACCGGATTAAACCGACTGACTTGATACATCACTCGATTCCATCTATCAACCTGTAAAACAAGTAAATAATTAACAAAATAACAAAGTATCATCAATTCCATCAACCAAATTAACCTGCTGCATTCCTTACTAACTCCTAATTAACAAACAAACGTCAATGCTCTTTCTTTCTTTCTTTCTTTCTTTCTCCCCCACTCTCTCTATCTAACAACAACCAATGCTCGATTCCATTGTGGAAACTGGAAATGGAAACAGAACCAAGATGTGCTTTTCCAATTCTGAAACTACACAATAAAAACCTAATTAAGCACCCACCTGAAACGATCTAAGCTAGTATTGAGGCAGGGGCGGGGACTGCAGTCGAGGTGGCGGGGAGTTGGGTCGATGCGTCGGGCGGGGAGCGGCGGCGAGGAGTCGGGGACCTGGGTTGAGACGAGGGGGCGAATGAGCGGCGGTGATACGTGGGGCAGGGAGTTGGGTCGAGACGAGGGAGGGGCGGCGGCTGCGCTGATTGTGGCCGCGGGCGAGGGCTCTGCTGGCTGCTGCTCGGCAGAGGAAGAAAAGGAAGGGATGTGATAGTTTTGCTAGGGCTAGTGACACGCTAAAACACAACACCTAACAAAGGCCAAGTGTAACCAATGAAAGAGACTGCAGTATAGTGGCTCAAGTGATAAATATCGAATCCACGGGTCTCTAGAGTTACTATTACTCAGCTTCAGTTTATTATTTAGCAAATCAGATTAAGATGAAAGAACTAAAACTACTCTAGCAAACTACAGTTAAAGTTAATCTAATTACAGGTTGGGAACTCACTTAGGTATGATTCCCCCTAGCCACTAGCCAGATTAATGATTGATGATCTCTAACCTGTTTCACTTTCATTCACAATGCGGAGAATCCTTGACTAGACCTTGAGTCTCGACTAAAGGAACAAGGCCCTCTTGAGTCAATTGCCTAGTGGGACGTATCCTTCTCTAGAACAACTGATCAAGGCGTTCTGAACTAGACTCCCTCTATCGAAAGAGGTTCTCAATCGATACAAAGCAGTGAATCAACCCTTGACTAAAGCAATCGATCCACTACTATCAATCTATGGTGCTCTATTGACCTAATCAGGTATTCCCTCTCATAGAATCAAAGCAGAATCAATAATCTGGACTAAAGCAGAATTGAATCATGAAAACATGCATAGATTGAATATGAACTCAAGATTATCCAGTCAGAGTACTCATACAATCATCCAATCAAACAAACATAGCTAGGGTTCCTCAAAACCTAAGTGAAGGGAAGTTACTCCATAGAGAAGAGAGAGACTGCAGTAAGAATCTTCAGATGATCAGTCTTCAAGTCCGGGCTTGTTCCTCGAGCTTCCAAGGCGAAGAAATCCTCCAACTCCACTCCAAGAATGCCCTCAAATCGCCCTCTCTCTCTTTGGTTCGTCCCTTGGGAGTTTGGGATCCAAAACCCAGCTCTCTCCTCTCCTTTGGCTGAAAATCGGGTTTTAAGCAGAAAATCCCGACTCACACGGCCAGGGTGGCACGGCCGTGTGGCTTACCCAGTTGCCCGTGTGAGTCAAAACGCTGCGTTCCAATTAGTTCGAATTCCAGGCTCTTTGCACGGCCAGAGTGGCACGGCCGTGTGAACTTCCTTTTTGCCCGTGTTTGCTCACGCAGAATTCCACACGGCCAGACTGGCCTCATGCACGGCCGTGTCGATCTTCTGCTTTGCCCGTGTCTGCTCTCGCAGAATGTCACACGGCCAGACTGGCCTCTTGCACGGCCGTGTGAACATCAGGGTAGCCCGTGTGACTTCCTTTGCGACTTGTCTCGTGCCCGATCTTCGCCCAATCGACCCCGAACTCGCTCCTAAACCTTCATTCACTTGCCAGGACCTGAAATATCACAAACAAGCACAACCTAGCGTGAAATCGGTCTAAAACACGAGAAACCACATCTCAAACGGTGTAAGAACAGGGGTGAAAACATGTGTAACTAACGGTCTATCAAACTCCCCCACACTTAACCGTTTGCTTGTCCCCAAGCAAACCTAACTCAAACCAATGCAACTCTCCAGACCTCTATGGCAACAAACAACCCAGATCGTAGGTAGAGGACTTCCTAGATCATTTAGCAGCTTACGAGGTCAACCGACGCACAAGTCATCTCAAAGCTTCTTCGGCGAGTTGGCATCATGGCAAATAGTGAACAGAGGACAAATGAATTGTGGATGAAGAGATTCTCAAAAACAACAAATCATGGACTCACATTTTTCAAGGTGCTCTATTTTTTGCTTAAGGATGGTTGGAACCCCTTTTCTTTCTATTATGCTTGTTTTCTGTTATTTTTCTTTTCTTTTTTTCTTTTTCAAGGGTCCCAACCTGCTCTTACCGGCCATGCCAGGAGCGGATGTCTCGAGCCTCGTGCGGGGGAAAGACATGTAAGGGGGCTGGAGGTAGTAGGTGGAAATTGGGAACGAATTCCCGTCTCCCCTTACACACTTTCGCCCTATTCGCACGGGAGACGTTTATTTTGAAGCACATTTTCGAGCACCTGTTATTTTCAAAACATGATACAAGAGTCCATGACAGGTAGAGAATCCACAACACCACACAATTCAAGGGTTCTAAGATCACTAATTCACTCAATCAACCAACTCAATATGAAGAAGAAATGAGACTTCTTATATGCATCAACATCCTCCATAGTGCTACACTACCTCCCTAGGTTGCATATTACTATAAAGACTGTCAATTCAAAGCATACTGAGCAGGCAATTGCAAGGAACACGTACTTGGAGCCCTCAAATTTAAAAATTTGGACAGTGGACTAGGCTCCAAGCACACAAACAGCCAAACATTCACCCGCATAAATAATCGAACATCCCCCCACACTTAAGCACGACATTGTCCTCAATGGAGGAAAGATAAAGAGGGTAGAACGAAGTTACCAGATCAAGGGTGAATGATGATGAACGGGTCAGGCGGTGCATTCCAGAAAGAGAGAGTAATCAAAACACAAACACCACACAAAATCTCACAAAGGTTGAGTTATTGACTCTAAAATCAAATAACAAGACTGACTCAACCGAGGAGAAATAGAGAAAGAAATGCAAACCGACTGGTTGGGTTGCCTCCCAACAAGCGCTTCTTTCACGTCGTGAGCCGGACGATGGCTCCTAAGTTTCGGTCCATGCTAGAACCTCCTTGAAGTTGAGGTTCTCGTCGATGAGGTGGAGTCTCAAGTCATGAGCATGTGGTGTGGCAGGTGATGAAGGCTCATGTACTTGATGCAGATGAAGTCTCCACCCTCGAGACCTCTCCTTCTCTTCTCTCGTCTCATTGCCCCAAACCAGATATGACAGCATCGATTGGCCACCATCGCGTCCACCAAGAGGGACCGATGTCGAGGTGGCCTTGGTCTGGCAAAGAGACACTGCAAATGGGTCCTTGCTAAGCAGTTCCTCGAAGTTTGGTGGAGATATCACATGTAACTCATGGCCGGTGCAGGCCTCTTCCACCTTAACTCCGTCCTCAGCCTGGACGCCAATTGCTTCTTCAACCCCCCTTTCTTTTTCATGTGGTATCACCCCTGGGAAATGATCAAGAACTCCTCCTGCTTCACTTTTGTCATCCTCCACAACTTCTTTCTGCACCCTTTGTTGCTCTTCTTCTTCTAGCACGGATTGGAGAGCAAGTTGCCAAGCAATTTCTTTCATGAGATCTTCTTGCAACTCCTCACTCATGCCCGCCTCTTCAAAGCGCAGTTTGGGGTGTGGGAGGGTGTGGTCGGCTACGACAGGACACTCCTGATCATGATCATCACGGGAGCTCTCCGTGACAACTTCAGTGTGCTCCACAATGTGAACATCAGGGTAGATCGTGTGACTTCTTTTGCGACTTGTCTCGTGCCCGATCTTCGCCCAATCGACCCCGAACTCGCTCCTAAACCTTCATTCACTTGCCAGGACCTGAAATATCACAAACAAGCACAACCTAGCGTGAAATCGGTCTAAAACACGAGAAACCACATCTCAAACGGTGTAAGAACAGGGGTGAAAACATGTGTAACTAACGGTCTATCAGCTAGGGTTCAGGATTCAATTCAGATTTCAGAAGAAGCTCCAGAACAGGCCAAATGACGTCACTTCCTCATGGCCGGTAGCCGGATAAGTCCGGTCAGACCCCGGTTTTGACTGATTTTAACCGGTCTTGACCGGCTAACGGCTAGTTCAAATTATGGCTGGCACTGGTCCTTTTAGTGCCCGGTTCGATCGACCGGTTCGTTGGCGTTTCCACCCTGCCCGATCGATCCGAGTTGGGTTACTCTTGAATCAAACCTACTAAATCAGTTACCGTAACTCGATTAAACTTGTAATCAACTAGTCTATGACTCTAAGTAACTTGAGTGGTCAATGGTCACTTTGAGTCATTCAAAATGTGATTCGAGTGTACTATTGTGCATTTGAACCAGATTTAAAAGTTCATTTTATAATTTAAAATGTTTGAAGTTGACAAAATTCATCTATAATTTGTCCGAATTAACAATTGCAACCAACCAAAAAATCAATAACTTAAAACATGACCAATGAATGACACTCGGTTAACATTGCTCCCAACTCGATTGACGATGAAATAGCAACCCAATTTGTATGTAAAGTGTAAACAATTCAACACACTTCAAACTGGAGAAAATCGGGTCGAACCTGATCCAACCAGCCAAATTCGAGTTGTTCACTCCGAACGACGCTGTCGTTTATTGCTTCCTTTCCCCATTAATGATTAAACCCTCGCGGCTTGTTCAACTCAACTCCCCCGTTAAACCCTGGAGAGTAAGCTCATTACTCTTTCGTCAAATTGGATCGGAGAAGAAAGGGGAAAGATTGCAGCTTTGATTCTGCCATCATCAAGCAGCTGCAGAACCAGAACTTGAAATCCCTTAGAATTGGCTGCAGAACCTAAAACTGGAGGTCGAGCTCCTGTTGGGCATAGAACAGAAAAGCCTCGAATGCCTTCGATCTCCGTCCACTAAGAAACCTAGGGAGAAAAGATGTCAGCTTTGGCGCTCAGAAGATCCAAGATCTGTTCCAAGAGTCTCCTCGCAGCTTCCTTTCTCTGCCCTCTTCAACCCGAGCCACAGAACGCACTCCTCCATTCTTCGAAGCATCACTCTTCACAATCTGTAAGGAAGAATCACCGGGTCCTGGCTTATTCCGGCTTCTCTTCGAACGGCGTCTTGAATAGAGAGCTTCAGTTCCAGAGGAGGGTTCTTCGTAGTCTTAGTACACATGCGGCAGCAGCTGCGGAGCTGTCTACTTCTGATGGCTTGACTGTTGATAGAATTGTTGCTAGTAACTGGGCCATTCTTGATGAAAGTGAGAGTGATTGGAAGAGCCATGCTGCATCTATTGCTCAGTCCATTCAAGTCATCAAGAAGCGGTTGCAGGTAATGGCTGTTCTCAGGATCTAGAAATTCAGAATGCAATTATTGAGTCGATGGTTCAATTTAGAATTGAATTGAACTTATTAGGGGTCCTCTGGATTATGGAATTGGTGGAATGTTGCCTGAAATTCATCACCTTCTGGTTATGGGTTGCTGCTCATCCAAAAATAATACATCCTCACAACCTGATCATTTCATATTCTATACATTTCGAAACCTCAACATTCTTAATAATCTATGTACTTGAACAATCCGTTGTGCAAAGTATCCCTTTTTTTCTGGAGTGGCTGAAATTTCAGTTCATTTCTCGGACCCTGGCTGTCAATTTCTGCATGATTTCAGTTGTTTTTATATTGTATTTGATGCATGATTTTATTATGTGGCAGTGGAATAAGTTGATGGTTAGATTAGATCTGCTATCAGCACAGCTGAATAAGCCAGACCTTTGGGATGATCCTGTACTTGCTGGAAAGTTAAGCCGCGAGCATGGCTCGTTGATGGGTAAGATGGAAGAGGTGAAAGCATTGGAGCAAGATTTGATTGAGCACATTGATATGATAAAGTTGGCTCGTGAAGAAGCGGAGGACTCCGAGTTGGAATCGGTGGGAAACCTTGCTTCTTGTTGTTTAGGCATGTACTCTTTTTCTTTGTGCCCTGATGAGAAAATTACTTGGTAGAACTCGTACCGGGACAATATACTGAGAATCTGATTATCTCTTGCTTAGCTTTAAATGTTAGCCTTGAACTATTCAACAGAAGGGTTGGCTGCTAAGATGGAACGGGTTAAATACCAATTTGGTTACATACCTCAAATTATATATCTCACATTGGATACTGAATTCAAGATCAAGACAACTAAGCACCAAAATCACCCTAATATTTCATCTTATCATTGTTGTTTTCCCATCAGTTTTCTCCATTATGTTGTTGATTCTGGGAAACAAATAATGCTAATGAAGTCTTCTTAGGGAGATTTCGGTTTTTAATTGTCTTAATCTTTATTGTGATACACATCAACATGATATGTGACCAAATTGTAATTTGAACCTAGATGGGAGATATCATGTGTAACTTTAGCATGATCAATGAATTGATTACTTGTTTGCTCTGCAGGAATCATTGAAAGCCATGCTTGAGATGAGAAGAAATTCCAAAGAGAAAGAGCTTGAAGCTTTGTTGTCCGCTGAGCATGATTCTTGTTCGTGTTACATTGAGGTAGCTCTCCATTTTACTGATATGTTACTGTCCAAATTGCTCTGCTGTATGATAAACGTCCGCTTATGGAACTTTCATTGCTTAAAGCTTGTGTCTTTATTTCTTGATGCATGAAAATAGGTTCAAGCTGGAGCTGGTGGTACTGAGAGCATGGACTGGGCGAAAATGGTGATGCAGATGTATAAACTATGGGCTCAACGCCGAGGGTTTAGAGTGACATTGGTCGACGAGATGTCTGGTGAGATGGCAGGAATCAAGGTTATATCATCTTTATCATCTTTCTCTGATTACAGAAGCACACAATCTTGTAGCTCTTATGAATTTTTGTTCTTTAGTAGGGATAATAATTGGGTAGGTCTGAGAAAGATATCTCTATCCTCGTTACCATCCCAGTTCTCAAAATTGGTATTCTCCCCATCCCCGAACAGATAAGGTTTTTGCATACTGCCCATGTATGAGTCACTTTGGGGATACTGTCGTAGGGGTGAACCAACCCACCCGTCCAACCCACCCGTCCAACCCATTCGTATTTATTGCTAAAATGAAGATTTTGGGTTGGATGAGAGTTTTCTTTTGTACAATCCGCATCTTTTGGGTTGAGTTTGGATTTTGGATTACACTACCCGTAGAACCCGTCCAACCCATTCGTATTTATTGCTAAAATGAAGATTTTGGGTTGGGTGAGAGTTTTCTTTTGTACAATCCGCATCTTTTGGGTTGAGTTTGGATTTTGGATTACACTACCCGTAGAACCCAACCCAACCCGTGTTCCAATTATTGGTATGAGTTTGTATAAAAAAAAAAATTTATGTCGTATATAGCCATACTCACGAAAAAATTAAGATATTTCATCATGTTTTTCTCTCATGGTCTCCCTAATCTAATGCATTCTTCGACTTAAAATTTAGACGTAAATTTAATATAGTTATGATCCATGTAATCCTTTATCCTGTGTACAATTGTAATAGAATAGCATATTATGGATGGGTTCATTTATAACCTTTTTAGCCTATTTTAACAAATGTCGTGAAAAAAACTAGACATAAGTTGAAGTAAATAAAATTTTATTAAAATTAAAACAACATTTGTGAATTTTGATACTGTTCACCTCGGCTTATTCGTTTGAATTTTTAATTAGTTATAAAATATTTTATGGTGTAGAATAATTACATATTTTGTGTTGGGTTGGGTTTTTACTTAAAAATATTGTCAACCCGATCCAACCCAATTAAAAGCAAACCGTAGGGTTTAAATTTTTTTGGGTGGGTTTGGGTTTAATATTTCCCAAACCGTAGTGCATGGGTTGGATGATTAAAATGCCTAAACCCGGACCACCCGACCCATGTACACCCCTAGATACTGGTGTATGATCCTCCGATAGCTCGTACTGTTCAATCAGAACTCAGACCTTTAAAATGAGTGTATAACAAATGTCAAATTATTCGATTTTCTTTACATTGTCATTTCATTATCATTTTTTTCATATTCCTAGTGTTTCAACTCCATGAAGTTCCATGAATATGTTTTGAAGAGTTATCTTTCGTTAACCAAACATGTCTAAATTTGATATTTCTTTTGCTAATTTCAGCGGGCAACCATCAGACTAGATGGTGAATATGCATTTGGCTATGCAAAAGCAGAAGTAGGAGTCCACAGGCTGGTGCGAATCTCGCCTTTCGACAGCAGTAAAAGGCGGCACACGTCGTTTGCAGCAGTTGCTGTGATCCCAATTCTTGGTGAAGGGTTCACACATGTTCAGATCAACGAATCCGACTTACGAATCGAACGGTTTCGATCTGGAGGAGCTGGTGGGCAAAGTGTTAACACGACTGATAGTGCTGTGAGGATAGTTCATATTCCAACTGGGGTAACTGCCACATGTCAGAACGAAAGGTGAAACTTCTTATCGACCTAAGCTCCAGTTATTACCTTTAGATATTGTCAGGGTTATGTCCCTAAGTTCTCCTTATGCTCCAAATGTTGAAATAATTCTGGCTGGGGGGTATTCACTACAGATCACAGCATATGAACAAGGCATCAGCAATGTCAGTGCTTCAGTCGCGGCTGGACCAGCTCGAGATGGCGCGGCAGGCCCAGGTGAATGCTCAGCACACTCAATCATTGACGGAAATCAGCTGGGGCAATCAAATTCGCACTTACGTCCTTCATGTAAGTGACCACGGAACCATTTCTTAAACTTCCATGCATTACTGGTATGTTTGTAGAGAACTATCACTGTTGTTTTGGTTGGCTGAATGAATTTAACAGTTTTGGCTTGCTCTGCGTTTCTCTCCAGCCATACCGTATGGTTAAGGATCTTCGAACCGGCCACGAGGTTTCTAACCCTGATTCAGTGCTTGAAGGAGAGCTAGACGGCTTCATCTTGAGCTATCTTTCATCTTCATTGGATAAAGATGAAGAATACCAATGAACCCTTTTGAAAGACAAGAGCAGTGATAAGCTGGTAGGAGGGAGATTGTCCCAATGATTTGGGAAGATTCCAATGAAGGGAGTAATTTATTGTTGTTGGATAGGTGATACTGTACTGAAATATTGATCATGTTGTGAACTCAACCTCTATAAATTAATACAATTGAGACCATAAAGTTATTAATTAATTGATAAATTAATAATTTATTTTATAATGTAAATGATTAACATAAATGACTTTATAATCCTAAAATAAGATTCATGCTGTGTGTTAATTTTATTTAGTATAAAGTATAATTTTATTTATATATTTTGTTAAACTTAACTCTTAAAATACATTGTATTATCCTTCTAAAACAAAAGCTCCGGCAATTCGATCAACAGATGGAAGAGCGAGGCTGCTAGCAGTCTTTCTTGATTCATTGTATTATCTTAATCGTCCAAATTAATGTATAATTACTTTAAGTATCCCAAAAATGTCCTATTATTATGATTATTTGTATGGGTTGTCATAATCAGGTGGATGTAAGTTAGTTGTTTGAGTATCTAAGTGAAAATGATGAATGTATCTTGACACAAAGTTCAGAAGAAATTGTGGTAGGCGTTATTGGGAGTTCTATTGAGGATAGATTGTTGGGACTTTTGATTAGAGAGTGTATGTACGATAGCCCGAGACCGGGTGACTAGGATTGTGATAGAGTCGTGACTATGTTCACTTTTCGAAAAGAATATTTTTACCGTCTACAAAGCCTTGGGTTACAGAAAATTTCTCTCGAGTATAAAACTATCACCACTTAAGGTTCTAGGCTCAAGAACACTAAAGCATACTTATAAATTTTTGGAAGAAAGAAGAAGAATATGTTTGATGGTCTGTGGCATCATCCACCCCACAGATATATTTATAGGGGCCGAATTCATGCATTGTTTCATGAAAGGTTGCATTTATCAATATGAAAGGTTGTCTCTATCTATATGAAAAGTTGTCTTTATCCATACGAAAGGTTCATTTATCCATATGAAAGGTTATCTCTATCCATAAAGTTGTCCTTATCCATAAGGTCATCCTTATTCATAAAATAATGCAACCGCCACTAGGCCAAAGGGATGTGCCCCTTCATGAAATTATACTATTGGTTCGATCAGTCTAATCCCAAACCGGTTGGTCAGACCAACAAAAAATTGGTTTAACTTGGTTAGTCCGGTTCAACCAAATATCCAACACAAATGAGATGATGATTCACCACTTTTGTAAGCTGTCACGCGAAAGGAAGCCTTTAGACCCGCATCAATCGACTCTTCAAAGTACTTGTTGCAATTAGAGAACACAACATCAGAGATTTTGAGTGCAATGAGAAAAATTCAAAATAAACTTCTACTAGACTTGAACGTCAAGAGGAAACAAATAAAAAGAATGAACTTCTACTAGACTTGAACTTTAAGAAGAAACAAAGAAAAAAACTACGATTGATATTTATCTAAATCATCCTGGCTTTTTTTTTTTTTTTTTGACAAAAGATAATCTTGTATTGATTCCAAAAACAAAGATAGTTACATCCTGGAATTCAGCCAGGTCTGAAAATCAAATAAACGACTTGTAGTCGGGTACAAAGGAAGGGCCTTGCGAGCCACCAAATGGGCTACCCTATTGCTACGCCGACCTACAAATCGAATAGTAAACCCTGTATGGGTGGCGAAGTAATGCACAATTTCCTCAAGAGTTATTTTCGTGAAGTCATGGTTTAGACACCATAAAATCGCTTTCACGGAGTGTAAGTAATTCCATGACCATGTGATCATCAATCAACATGAATTGCACCCCATGAGCAAAGAGGATGTCCCGAGCATGGTTCATAATAACCATCTCACCTGCCGAATGAGATCCCCTCCTAGTTGCTCCATCCCACATACAAACAACAAAATTAGACCCATCAGGATCCAAGTGCTGCAACCGAGGGACGATAGACTAGGAAACATGGTCAACTGGCAAGCTCATCCATTCCTCATATTGTTGGTTTTGTTGTCGCATCAAGGCAGGGATCCCAAACTGCTTTCACTCAAAGGCCACCAAGTTTAGACCTCCAGATTCTCCATAGAACTACAACAACTCTCATGAACAACGATGGTTCATGAATGATAGACATCGAGTTTTTGAGGAAAAGTGGGAAGGTATAACGATGCAGCCCTTGCCCAAGATATTCCAGTCCCGAGTAGTCCCAAAGCGCCCGTGCTACCGGACAGTCGAGAAACAAATGCCCCATGGTTTCCTCATCAGCTCAGCATACCGGGCACCTGGGAAGCACATGAACCTTCTTCTCAATTAAACCTTCCGTAGTTTGCAGGATGCGGTGAAATATTTTCCAGGCAAATACTTTCAACTTGGGCGGGATATTTGCCTCCCATAAACGGATCCAATTGGCTCTATCCATCCAGCTCGCCGTGGATCGCCAACGTCCCCTCTGTTTATCCAAAAGGATTGCAAAATGAAAGGCCGATTTAACTGTGAAAATCCCCTCGGACGTAGCATGCCATATCAGCTTATCCTCAACATTCTGTCTAGGAAGGGTAATAGTTTTGATAGCCTGACAAGTGAATGGGTCAAACCACTGACCAAGCTTCAGGTCCTACCACTCCCCCTGATAAATAACTTCAGCTATGATAGACCGTCATTTACACATGTTTTTACCCCCGTTCTTACACCGTTTGAGGTGTTGATTCTCGTGTTTTAGGCCGATTTCACGCTAGGTTGTGCTTGTTTGTGATATTTCAGGTCCTAGTACGTGAATGAAGGCTTAGGAGCGAGTCTGGGGTCGATTGGACGAAGAACGGACGAATGGCGAGGTTTTTGGGGAGCTGCACGGGCAGACCAGGGAGGCTGCACGGCCGTGCACGGTTGCAAGCTGGCCGTGCGCCTCATGCCGAGGAGATGCACGGGCAGGCCCTGAAGATTGCACGGCCGTGCACCTGGCCGTGCAAGAAGCCTGAGTTCGACTTAAGGGATACGCTGCGTTTCATGGTGCACGGCCAGAATGGTGAGGTGCACGGCCGTGCACCCTGGCCGTGCAACTCGGGGAAACCCGGTTTTAAAGCCTAATCCGAGCCAGAAGTGAAAGAACAGTGTTTTCAGAGCAACAACAGAGCCCTAGAGAGAGAAAGTACGAAGAACACATCCTAGAAGCTGTCTTAGAGCTGGATTTCATCGAATCGAGCCTGGAGATCATCATAGGAGTGAAAATCATCGTCCCGGAGCAGATTATCCTCATCGTTATGAGTATGACTAATCCGATTCTTGTTTTCTCTTCTCTCTCTATGGAGTAGAACCCTTCTCTCACTTGGGGATGAAGAACCCTAGTTCTATGTGTTAGGGGATTGATTGTAATGACTTGGGATGATACTACTGTTTGATTTTAATCGAATGATGCATGTTTCGTGAATTGATTTGAGTCTGATCAGCTTGTCTCAATTTCTGCTTCAACCTGAGATAGATAGAATCTGATTAGGTTGTTAGAGCCTCTTCATTCGATAGTAGGAGACTGGTTATACGAGAGTTAGCCAGTTTACTGCTCTGTACTGGAATCTAATTCCAGTAGTGAATTTCTGTTCTTACTGCTTCAGCTTTCTATCCCGGTGAAGACTAGTCGTCTGCCGGGTAGTTAGACTGAGAGGGCTTGGTCAGCTTAAGAGATTCCAAGCTACTGTCGGATCTTCCGCAGTCTAATCAACAGTAAATCAACCCAGGGAATTGCAATTGAACCTAACTAAGGAGCTAGGGGGATTCATTCCCGAGTGACTCTTTCCTGCTTAAGAAAACCGAATAATTTCCTGCTTTATTTCTGCTTTTAGTTTAAACAACAATCACTTACTCTAGTTGGTTAGATAACAGAGAATCACTGAGTAAGCAGTAGATCTAGACCCCGGGTTGATAATATAACTTGCCTGTTACTGCATTCCCGGTCTGCGATTACACTTGGTCGCAGATTGGTGTTGTGTTTTGGCGTGCCAAGTTTTTGGCGCCGTTGCCGGGGAACCCTCTAGGTTATTGGGGAAAAGTGAGAATTTGTTACTCTAGCTTTTTATTTTCTGCTTTTTATTTCTTCCACCTGTGTGCCTTCACGGGTTGTTTCTGCTGATTGTGTGCAGGTAGTGCATGACCCGTAGCCAGTCGGGAGATCTACTACCACTAGACCAGGAGCTTGAACGAACCTGCAGAAACTTCAAGCGGGCTCTAAAGGCGCGACTGGCTGCGGAGGAGGCGCTATCACAGCTGCAGTTAGAGGAGGAAGAAGAAGAGATGGCTGAACCAGGGAACCATGCTGTGATCCCCGAGGAGCAGACCATGGGTTCCTACTGGACCGCTAGGGCTGCGGACATGAGGTCACCCATTCAGCACCCTCAGGTCCCAGCCAACAACTTTGAGGTGAGCACCTCCGTGATCACCATGTTGCGCGGTTCAGTAGTGTTCCGTGGTAAGGAGGGAGAATACCCTCGATCACATCTCAGGCGATTCCACGAGCTCATCGATGGAATCAAGATCAATGGGGTACCAGCAGATGCCATCCAGCTGAGGTACTTCCCATTCACTCTGGAGGGGCAGGCCAAGGAGTGGCTAGACACTCGATCTCCGGGCTCCATCACCACGTTCGCCAACCTGGCGGACAAGTTCCTCACCCGCTACCATCCTCCATCCAAGACAGCTGACCTGCAGAAGCAAATTACACATTTTGCTCAGGATGAGGATGAGACCATCAGGGATGCATGGGAGAGGTACAACAGTCTTTTCCTCAGGTGTCCCAATCATGGTTTCAACGATGCGTTCAAGGTGGGCACCTTCTATCACGCCCTCTTCCCGGAGGACAAGCAGCTGATCGATTCGGTTTGTGGCGGGAACATGCTGACCAAAACCCCGCCACAGCTGAATCAACTCTTTGAAGAGATGGCGGAGAATGGTTATGATTGGGGCACTGCCAGGAGATCGAGGAGAGCACCAGGCCGGGGTGTGCATGCTGTGGGCACCCAGTCATCCGATTTGGTGCAGGTAGTATCGAAGCTGGTCTCAGCTATCGATCGTTCCGGGATGATTCCAGGGACCGGACAGCAGCAGGCGATGCTCTGCCAGTGGTGCGAGAGCACCCATCATATGGTGGAAGACTGCCAGGCGATGAAGGAATCGACCACACCCCAGGAGCAGGTGAACTTCATCAACAATGTCAGGCGCAATGACCCCTACAGCAACACGTACAATGAGGGGTGGCGCCAGCATCCTAACTTCTCCTGGACTGGGCCAAATCCCAGACCACCAGCTCCACAG